TTTACTTTTATATTTCCATCATGATACACTGACAAACGAAGCCTGATTCTGTCTGTCAAATGTTGTAAAAGTTCTAAAATGTAATTATTTTCTACCCAACTGTAGTGTAATGTACATTTTGTCAAGATCCTAAAACAAATCTAATCGTAACCGAACGTAAATGCTGTCGAAAACAAATGTTTATACTAGCTGAATAAAGGTCCTGCTGAAGACTGACGAACCTCGCACCACTTACTGCATCATGGTATTCGATTTATACTGCGTAATTGTAAGTGTCAATAATTCATAATTGGTTATTGAATATTCTACGTTTTGACGCTTTATTAAGGGTTTAGTACTTTAGTATACAATTACACGCGGTTTGACGTAATAACCATTCGGAGCCAAACAGCAATTACACAAATTATTATACAAATTAGCATATAATTAGCATACAATTAAAAAACGTCGGTATTAGAAAACTTCTACAAACAAAAACCTGCAGGTGTAATACACTAGCGGAATTATTCTCAACAAAAGGATGAACACCGCAAAATATTGGGAGAAGTTATACAAAATGAAAATACCAAACAAAATACCGAACATCACACCCTGAGAATGTGTTAAACAGAAAACTATTGCAAATCTTAACAAAGTTATCCCACCCTGCTGGTAAGATGACCGCCACAAAAGTCAAACCTGTCGGTCTATCTAAGTATCTAAGATGTAAGGGTAAACCTGTCAGTCTATCTAAGATTTAAGGGTAAACTTGTTGGTCTATTTAAGATTTAAGGGTAAACTTGTCGGTCTATTTAAGATGTAAGGGTAAACTTGTCGGTCTATTTAAGATGTAAGGGTAAACTTGTCGGTCTATCTAAGATGTAAGGGTAAACTTGTCGGTCTATCTAAGATGTAAGAGTAAACCTGTCGGTCTATCTAAGATGTAAGGGTAAACTTGTCGGTCTATTTAAGATGTAAGGGTAAACTTGTCGGTCTATCTAAGATGTAAGGGTAAACCTGTCGGTCTAGCTAAGATGTAAGGGTAAACTTGTCGGTCTATCTAAGATGTAAGGGTAAACTTGTCGGTCTATTTAAGATGTAAGGGTAAACTTGTCGGTCTATTTAAGATTTAAGGGTAAACTTGTCCGTCTATCTAAGATGTAAGGGTAAACTTGTCGGTCTATTTAAGATGTAAGGGTAAACTTGTCGGTCTATCTAAGATGTAAGGGTAAACTTGTCGTCTAGCTAAGATGTAAGGTAACTTGGTAAAATTGTCGGTCTATCTAAGATGTAAGGGTAAACTTGTCGGTCTATCTAAGATGTAAGGATAAACTTGTCGATATATTTAAGATGTAAGGGTAAACTTGTCGGTCTATTTAAGATGTAAGGGTAAACTTGTCGGTCTATCTAAGATGTAAGGGTAAACTTGTCGGTCTATTTAAGATGTAAGGGTAAACTTGTCGGTCTATCTAAGATGTAAGGGTAAACTTGTCGGTCTATCTAAGATGTAAGGGTAAACTTGTCGGTCTATCTAAGATGTAGGGGTAAACTTGTCGGTCTATTTAAGATGTAAGGGTAAACTTGTCGGTCTATCTAAGATGTAAGGGTAAACTTGTCGGTCTATTTAAGATTTAAGGGTAAACTTGTCGGTCTATCTAAGATGTAAGGGTAAACTTGTCGGTCTATCTAAGATGTAAGGGTAAAATTGTCGGTCTATCTAAGATGTAAGGGTAAACTTGTCGGTCTATCTAAGATGTAAGGATAAACTTGTCGATATATTTAAGATGTAAGGGTAAACTTGTCGGTCTATTTAAGATGTAAGGGTAAACTTGTCGGTCTATCTAAGATGTAAGGGTAAACTTGTCGGTCTATTTAAGATGTAAGGGTAAACTTGTCGGTCTATTTAAGATGTAAGGATAAACCTCTCGGTCTATTTAAGATGTAAGGGTAAACTTGTCGGTCTATCTAAGATGTAAGGGTAAACTTGTCGGTCTATTTAAGATGTAAGGGTAAACTTGTCGGTCTATTTAAGATGTAAGGGTAAACTTGTCGGTCTATCTAAGATGTAAGGGTAAACTTGTCGGTCTATTTAAGATGTAAAATTATGATTGAATTACAGTTTCTTATCCCATGAACACAATTGATAAACTGGCAATGGTTTAAATTTATAATATTTATTGACACTGTACAGGCGCTGTGACCATTACGTTGAGTAGAGCTAAATTCCTGGTTTTAAAGTTTTGTGCGATCCTGTCGGTAGTTTATTGAGTTTCGTCAAAAGTATGCACATATTTGAGGTGATTATGGGTATATTATGGCGACTTGGAATATATATTCTGGGATATTTTAATGTCGAGAAATTTCCATATTCAAATAACATTATGGTTAGTAATTTAAAAAATTACTGCAAACAATTCACTGAATTTTATAAATATTTATAAATATTTATCACTCTGTTTTAGACAGTCGCATTTTTAAATTTCTGGACTATTCAAATACAAAGAAAACGTTAATTAAGTTTTTATTAAACTATGCTGGAAGCATAAACCAAGCAAAGCTTTTTCAAATTCCTAATAAGCCTGCCTCAAAAAATACAGCCAGTACAAACGTATGCGATGCGGCAGAAACAAAAAAAGCTTTCTCTAGAAAGCCAAGAATTAATTCAATAAATTTTCTTTTCCGGAAACACTTATAATACGGTAGTATCAATACACCGCAATACAATAAATACTGGTCGACAAAAGTGGGAGCGAGCAAATACAATAAATACTGGTCGACAAAATTGGGAGCGAGCAAATACAATGTATACAAACATGAAAAAGTGGGAGCGAGCAAATACAATGTATACAAACATGAAAAAGTGGGAGCGAGCAAATACAATGTATACAAACATGAAAAAGTGGGAGCGAGCAAATGCAATGTATACAAACATGAAAAAGTGGGATGTACTCAGCATTGATAAACAGCACCAATCAATTAACAGGTACAATCTGAAGCCACGCATCCGCGAACAGAACAATCGAACCAAATTCAAACCTGCACTACAGTTCAAAAGTGTTAGAAAAGTTCAATAAATAGAGTCGGTAAAAGTGGGAGTGTGCAGTGTGCAGTGTGCAGTGTGCAGTGTGCAGTGTGCAGTGCGCAGTGTGCAGTGTGCAGTGTGCAGTGTGCAGTGCGCAGTGTGCAGTGCGCAGTGTGCAGTGTGCAGTGTGCAGTGTGCAGTGTGCAGAGTGCAGTATGCAGTGTGCAGTGTGCAGTGTGCAGTGCGCAGTGTGCAGTGTGCAGTGTGCAGTGTGCAGTGTGCAGTGTGCAGTGTGCAGTGTGCAGTGTGCAGTGTGCAGTGTGCAGTGTGCAGTGTGCAGTGTGCAGTGTGCAGTGTGCAGTGTGCAGTGTGCAGTGTGCAGTGTGCAGTGTGCAGTGTGCAGTGTGCAGTGTGCAGTGTGCAGTGTGCAGTGTGCAGTGTGCAGTGTGCAGTGTGCAGTGTGCAGTGTGCAGTGTGCAGTGTGCAGTGTGCAGTGTGCAGTGTGCAGTGTGCAGTGTGCAGTGTGCAGTGTGCAGTGTGCAGTGTGCAGTGTGCAGTGTGCAGTGTGCAGTGTGCAGTGTGCAGTGTGCAGTGTGCACTGTGTACTGTGCACTGTGCACTGTGCACCCTTGAATGTATTAAACATTGAATAGTTATAACGCAATACGTTTTTCTAATAAAATATATCTGAGTCTATAAAGTCTTATAAAAGAACAGTCAAATACAACGTAGTCATATCACTACAATTGTTCAAAAAAAGTGATAAAACACCTATTTTAGTGGCTAAATTGCCACTTAAGTTAATACTAGGATGATTGTTACTTCATAAGTACACCATTATTTAGGCTTTGTGCTTGAGCCGCTCATCTCATGGCACGACGTAACAGCTGAACAAGTTTTAACAAAACCCGATCTAATTCTGATAAAACAGTTTCCTCCAGCAAAATTTAATAGCAATCTTGCTATAACTAGCGAATCAAAATATAATAAAACACAATCATGATTATAATCAGGAAAACCAAGTAAAACATATGCTGTGAACATAAATTATTTACTTAAAACAAGCTACACGAACTTGAGGTGTTAAAATTATTTTCTCTGAAAACTCACGTGCCGTGGTTCACGGTAATGTTTTACACACGTGCCGTGGTTCACGGTAATGTTTTACACACGTGCCGTGGTTCACGGTAATGTTTTTACACACGTGACCGTCAAGAAGGTGTTTGATTGGCTCGTCAAATGTTGCACAAATCGCGCGCGTTCCACTTAGAGTTAATGAATACCGCTTGCTCTACAGCATTAATTTCCTCGTACAATAATCGAGTTTGTACCTGCCAATCAAGTTAAATGTTGGTCACGAGACACAATTCGACCACGTGTTTCAGATGCGGAGACCCTGGCAGAAAGTTTACCGCAAAATATGCGGAAAACTATATATTCATGAGGAATACAAATAAATCTTAACGCGAAATGCAAATTAAATGTAAATTGGATTGAATTATAGTTTAATTGAGTTAGCAAATATTATTTAATTTACTGGTTAATTTGCCGTTATCAAGATAGGTCAAGAAAAGCAGGCATGGGGGCCGCCGCCGTTATTAAATATTGGATCTTAAAGAGCTCAAAATTATAAAAAAAATACTATTTTGTTGAAACCTTTGGAAAATAAAACGACCAAAAGCTAAAATTAAATTTTAACGTTGAGCGAAATGACGTTACATCAAGATTCTGGAGCGAACTAATTCAGTACAGTTATAAGCGTACATTTGAAAATGGGGTAAAATGGGGCAGTTCTCAATAAGGAGATTTTATATTATCAAATTAAGTTTCGAGTATCTCAATCGGGTTTAGTACTAGTAAACTTACTAATTATTGATCTCTGGACACAAATTCTGTCAAACCTATAAATTTTGGTGTAAGACAATTTATACTTCAGAATTATACTGGCATGCACTCTGCGACAAAACAAGGTTTGACCCAATCAAACAATAAACTTGAGTTTAAAGAAAATTTAAAGAAAAATTAACATTGTCTGCAAACTTAGAAACTTATAAATTAGCGGAATATAAAACAATCAAATACTCAATAATTGGGAGATCATTAATTGGAGCGATTACCAAACTCAAACGGAATTAGAGCTGATAGAAACAATCATAAAATGCAACAGCAATTAAATCGGTCAAGTTTCTGTGGTATTACTGGCTGCACTAATAATACTGAAATCGAACATGCCCACCCTCAACAACTTATTCAAATCTCTCATCAAATACATGAGCGAGTCAATAGAGCCAGTGATAGCCTGAGTTTGTGCCTGGGCGGCCTTGTAGAGCGGACTACTGTTACACAACCTTCCGTAACACTCCTTACAAAAACAAACCCTTCCATTCTCCCCACAGTTAGCAGCTGCCCTCATCGCTTCACACGTCTTCAGGTTGGCAGTCTGTTGGTAGTCGTCAACCCCACACGCATGTTTAATGTGAACAGCTTTACTTGCTGCGTCCTCGTACTTGAGGTAGTAACACTGGGTAACATCAACCCTACAAGTCTCCTTCTTCATCTCCACTTCCTTGAAGCAATCCTCACTGTTGTCTGATTCGCACGTGTAACACTGGAGACGGGGGGTGCAGGTCAGAGAGATAGCTTGAGTATCGTTACATTTTGAGAATTGAGTCAGAGCTCGGCCCCAGAACCCTTTGGTTAGTCGCTGGTCCATTATGTGCGCTACACGGTCTGGGGAGAGGCGAGTGTTAGTAACCAGGTTAGTAACTAGGCTGGTTACTAGGTTAGTAACCAGGTTAGTAACCGGGTTAGTAACTAGGCTGGTTACTAGGTTAGTAACCAGGTTAGTAACCAGGTTATTAACTAAGTTAATAACCAGGTTAGTAACCAGGTTAGTAACCAGGTTAATAACTAGGCTGGTAACCAGGCTGGTAACTAGGTTAGTAACCAGGTTAGTAACCAGGTTAGTAACCAGGTTAATAACCATTAACCAGGTTAGTAACCAGGCTGGTAAAATTAATCAGGTTATTAAACACTAACAGGTTATTAGCTAAGTTATTAACCAGGTTAGTAACCAGGTTAGTAACCAGGTTAATAACCATTAACCAGGTTAGTAACCAGGCTGGTGAACAGATTATTAACCGGGTTAGTAACCAGGTTAGTAACCAGGTTAGTATTATATAATCAATTTTGTATCAGTAGTCGTAATTTTCTCCAGTATTGTTAATTCAATACTTCAATCTATTTGTATTGATCTATAAGCTACTTATATCTTTATATAAAAATAGGAAAACCAGCAGAGTTGAATAGTTGAATGAACTCACTTGGTACTTTGAACTTGGTCGTGGTAGCCGTGTGTTTCGGATAAGCATCTGAAAGAAATGTGAACCCGTACGCTTGTTCCTCCAGATCGCAACCAGCAGTGAAGGTGTAGTTCAAAAACAAAACCTTTTGGAACTGAACTTCAATCCTCTTCGGGGTCTTAAAGATCTCAAAGATCCCCCCTACATTACTGTTATCACTTGTGTACGCAATTGACTGGTTGGTACACGAGTACCTGACAGTAGTGCCAGTCATCATGATCCAGCCGTTGGGTGATCCACTTGAGTCTAGGAAAGTGAGCCCGATTGTGGCGGTGGCGGAGAGTTTCTCAGTTGTTACCAACTCGAAGGTTTTGTTTTCCACGTAGTACATGTACTTTTCATCGAGTTTGATTGTCTGCTCTGTGCTCTGTGCTGCAACAGAAAGGGTTAACAGCAACACAATATTTGGTTGTGCTCAGTGCTGCAACAGAAAGGGTTAACAGCAACACAATATTTGGTTGTGCTCAGTGCTGCAACAGAAAGGGTTAACAGCAACACAATATTTGGTTGTGCTCAATGCTGCAACAGAAAGGGTTAACAGCAACACAATATTTGGTTGTGCTCAGTGCTGCAACAGAAAGGGTTAACAGCAACACAATATTTGGTTGTGCTCAGTGCTGCAACAGAAAGGGTTAACAGCAACACAATATTTGGTTGTGCTCAGTGCTGCAACAGAAAGGGTTAACAGCAACACAATATTTGGTTGTGCTCAGTGCTGCAACAGAAAGGGTTAATAGCAACACAATATTTGGTTGTGCTCAGTGCTGCAACAGAAAGGGTTAACAGCAACACAATATTTGGTTGTGCTCAGTGCTGCAACAGAAAGGGTTAACAGCAACACAATATTTGGTTGTGCTCAGTGCTGCAACAGAAAGGGTTAACAGCAACACAATATTTGGTTGTGCTCAGTGCTGCAACAGAAAGGGTTAACAGCAACACAATATTTGGTTGTGCTCAGTGCTGCAACAGAAAGGGTTAATAGCAACACAATATTTGGTTGTGCTCAGTGCTGCAACAGAAAGGGTTAACAGCAACACAATATTTGGTTGTGCTCAGTGCTGCAACAGAAAGGGTTAACAGCAACACAATATTTGGTTGTGCTCAGTGCTGCAACAGAAAGGGTTAACAGCAACACAATATTTGGTTGTGCTCAGTGCTGCAACAGAAAGGGTTAACAGCAACACAATATTTGGTTGTGCTCAGTGCTGCAACAGAAAGGGTTAACAGCAACACAATATTTGGTTGTGCTCAGTGCTGCAACAGAAAGGGTTAACAGCAACACAATATTTGGTTGTGCTCAGTGCTGCAACAGAAAGGGTTAACAGCAACACAATATTTGGTTGTGCTCAGTGCTGCAACAGAAAGGGTTAACAGCAACACAATATTTGGTTTTGCTCAGTGCTGCAACAGAAAGGGTTAACAGCAACACAATATTTGGTTGTGCTCAGTGCTGCAACAGAAAGGGTTAACAGCAACACAATATTTGGTTGTGCTCAGTGCTGCAACAGAAAGGGTTAACAGCAACACAATATTTGGTTGTGCTCAGTGCTGCAACAGAAAGGGTTAACAGCAACACAATATTTGGTTGTGCTCAGTGCTGCAACAGAAAGGGTTAACAGCAACACAATATTTGGTTGTGCTCAGTGCTGCAACAGAAAGGGTTAACAGCAACACAATATTTGGTTGTGCTCAGTGCTGCAACAGAAAGGGTTAACAGCAACACAATATTTGGTTGTGCTCAGTGCTGCAACAGAAAGGGTTAACAGCAACACAATATTTGGTTGTGCTCAATGCTGCAACAGAAAGGGTTAACAGCAACACAATATTTGGTTGTGCTCAGTGCTGCAACAGAAAGGGTTAACAGCAACACAATATTTGGTTGTGCTCAGTGCTGCAACAGAAAGGGTTAACAGCAACACAATATTTGGTTGTGCTCAGTGCTGCAACAGAAAGGGTTAACAGCAACACAATATTTGGTTGTGCTCAGTGCTGCAACAGAAAGGGTTAACAGCAACACAATATTTGGTTGTGCTCAGTGCTGCAACAGAAAGGGTTAACAGCAACGCAATATTTGGTTGTGCTCAGTGCTGCAACAGAAAGGGTTAACAGCAACGCAATATTTGGTTGTGCTCAGTGCTGCAACAGAAAGGGTTAACAGCAACACAATATTTGGTTGTGCTCAGTGCTGCAACAGAAAGGGTTAACAGCAACACAATATTTGGTTGTGCTCAGTGCTGCAACAGAAAGGGTTAACAGCAACACAATATTTGGTTGTGCTCAGTGCTGCAACAGAAAGGGTTAACAGCAACACAATATTTGGTTGTGCTCAATGCTGCAACAGAAAGGGTTAACAGCAACATAATATTTGGTTGTGCTCAGTGCTGCAACAGAAAGGGTTAACAGCAACACAATATTTGGTTGTGCTCAGTGCTGCAACAGAAAGGGTTAACAGCAACACAATATTTGGTTGTGCTCAGTGCTGCAACAGAAAGGGTTAACAGCAACACAATATTTGGTTGTGCTCAGTGCTGCAACAGAAAGGGTTAACAGCAACACAATATTTGGTTGTGCTCAGTGCTGCAACAGAAAGGGTTAACAGCAACACAATATTTGGTTGTGCTCAGTGCTGCAACAGAAAGGGTTAACAGCAACGCAATATTTGGTTGTGCTCAGTGCTGCAACAGAAAGGGTTAACAGCAACACAATATTTGGTTGTGCTCAGTGCTGCAACAGAAAGGGTTAACAGCAACACAATATTTGGTTGTGCTCAGTGCTGCAACAGAAAGGGTTAACAGCAACACAATATTTGGTTGTGCTCAGTGCTGCAACAGAAAGGGTTAACAGCAACACAATATTTGGTTGTGCTCAATGCTGCAACAGAAAGGGTTAACAGCAACACAATATTTGGTTGTGCTCAGTGCTGCAACAGAAAGGGTTAACAGCAACACAATATTTGGTTGTGCTCAGTGCTGCAACAGAAAGGGTTAACAGCAACACAATATTTGGTTGTGCTCAATGCTGCAACAGAAAGGGTTAACAGCAACACAATATTTGGTTGGGCCGTTTTTTATTAAATGTAACCTTGTTAGTTACAAGGTTACAAGTTTAGATACAACCTTATCTTATCTCCACGAGACCTTTTCTCCGAGATAAATACATGTTTCCACAAATTGTTTTCAAGAGACAATCACAAGTGTCTGGTCGAATCCATCGCAGGAAATATAAGAAACATATTTTATCGTATACATACATTATCTTTCGGGCATTATATTTATTCAAAATGTATTACGCTAATAGTATTTTAATATTTGAATCACCTTGGAGATTCACACTGTCCCATTTTGCCTCCAACTCCGCCTCATCCAGCCATATAAGAGGAAGGGGCTCGTCCTTAATGTTCATTGGGTGAGACCAGCTTGTGTTGAGTCTACCTGCCACTTTCTCTAAAGTAGCTTCTCCGTAACCCAGTCCGAGCTGGAAGCACACCGCTGATGCTGTTAATCTGAGCACGTGATTTATCAATTAATTTAATTAATTAATTAGTTAATTTAATTAATTAATTATTTTAATTAGAAGGTGATTTCAATTAAATTAGAAGGTGATTTAAATTGGATTGGAAGGAATTAGGTTCATTCTTTTCAGGTTCGTCATTCAACTTTCCAAAATTTCTTCATCAGATTATACAACTTCCTATGTAATAAATATGATTCTGCAACTTATTCTTTTTTAGTTAAAAAGCTAAAATTGAACATAGTGAGGATATGAAACTAATCAAACGCATAATTCGAAATATCATCAAACAAATACCTTGTCCATGGTGTAGCTGAACAAACAGAACCCCACTGGTCATTATACTTAATGGCCACCAATCCCTTCCAAATAATATGATGTACCCAATCATAATCTCCTATCAGCTTGAGATCCTGATACCCGTTCTTAAAGCACTGAACCCCCGCGTAGCTATTCTTCCCACACCCATCTCCCCCATCCACTATATCCCAGCCCGTATTAGGGCACGTGTATAGGGACGGCTCAGCCCCCGAACAGGTCATGTTACTCAACCACACGCTCTCACGGGACGAGATCTTCTTGCTAACCCCAAATATGGGGATACCACCGTTCCCCCTGATACTGTTACAGAAGACTGTAGCATCTGGAGTGTCCCAGTCCAGGTCACAGATCACTCCCCAGCTGTTTATCCACTGGATGCTAACCACCCCTGTTATACTGTAGTCCTCTTCTATTGGCATTGCTCCTGCCTTCTCCAGGAGCTTGCTCCCGTGTTCGGTAGCACAGATTGTTAAACCTTCCACCGTAAAAGCTTGCGGAGTCCTTGAACCATCCGCATAAGGGTTGATCCCGACTATCTTCTTGAAATCCTCATGATACTCGACCACGTTTCCTTCACTTGCCTCCGTCTTTACATTAAACAACACATTGGATTTACTGCTCTGTCCCATTTTAGTAGTCCAGGCCACATAAGCAGATTTAGTCATCACCATCATGATCTGCTCCACCTTGCCGGGTGCGTTGTTGTAGGGTAGATCTGAGCTGGCCCCCATGTCAGCCTCTTCGCAGGAGTCAGTGGTTGGTTGTAGGTTTACCACACCTGCGGTGGAGTCCACTGTCACCTGAGGAGATGTTTGGTAAGGGTTTCAGAATGTTTAGGTTAGTAGTAGGTAGTACAAGTAGTAGGTTTCGGAACTAAGTACGTTGTAGCAGTTACAAAATCAAAACCTACTCATTGCATTATTACAAATAAGTTTGCCTTCTATAATAGTTGACATGGTCTGAAATCTCATATAAAAGAATAAAAGGTTGATGTTTTAAACCTTCCAGATTTCCATTAAATTAACAAGGTATGGGAATGTCAAATATTATTTTAGGTTTTTGCTTGTCTGCTTAATAAAGTACCTTGATAAACTTCTTATTGGTCGCACAGTTGAGGGAGAACGAAGATGTTTGTTTGGGAAACTCTATATTAGTTGTGCCGTATATAATCATCAGGTCCCCTATCTCCAATTCAAATCCAAAAGTTTCTTCCGTTACTATTGGGAACTTTTGGAACTTTACATCCTTATTGGTCGAACACAGTGCTGAAATAAACTCAATTATAAACATAGTTTAAAATTTGGTAAACTTACTTTGAAACTTGTAAACTTACATAATATAATCTTACTTATAAACTTACTACTTAAAAACATACTGAAATTAACTTGCTGAAAATTCGTAATAATAAAAGAATTGAAAAATAAAGTTATCATTATCATACCATCAAGTATAAGATAAGTTTTAGAAGACTCCAAAACATTTATATTGGATGTTTTCGTATCCAGAAGTTTCTTATCATACGTTATCTTCGCCCAGTAAAAGTGTCCCGCAGTTGTGGCGTTAGCCACTATCGTGAGTGACGTGTCAGAATACGCCATCTCGTCATACGCGAACACTCCTGGTGGTGTGTTGTGGTCCCAGCACACCTGGTTTCAGTTATATAATTTTTAAATAATTGTTCAATAATTGTTCAATAATTGTTCAATAATTGTTAAATAATTGTTCAATAATTGTTCAATAATTGTTTAATAATTGTTCAATAATGTTTTTTAAATTTTTTATTAAGAGTGGCCCACGAGAGGATAGCATGTGGATGCTTTGCCTACCTCTGGGGTATGGCAGTCTTATTCACTATTGGCAAATGATTGTTTATTAGTTGAATTATTTAAATGATTGTTCATTAGTCGCAAAATTTCAGGACTGAATTCTGATGAAGCTATGGTATAACTATTATTTCCTCCACTTCTGATTAAGTCATCATATTAATTTGTTCGGCAGACAAACTTCTAGTAGAAATAATCAATACTTAATTAATTAATAATTGAATCATGAAATAATTAATTAATGACACACCTGGTTGACCACTCCCAGATTATCATCACTCTGGCACCATTGCCAGTCGGCAGGTAAGTAACTTGGATTAGAGTTCTGATACGTAACCTTAGAACGGTTTGTTTTAACACACAACTACATAAAACACATAGTTTGAGAATATAAAAATGTCGATAATTGTCGGCACGTGATTCAACAACCTTCATCATAATGTCCACATCATGCAGCGGGTCTGCAAATGAAATGAGGTATTTATATCCCGCTCATATGAATAACCAACAACACAAGGAAGGTGGTTAACCATGTCAGAGCGGCTGACTGTGAGTGATGTGAGCAAATGTGTAAAAGTGAACTAAAGTATAACTCGTCATAAGGTAAAGACAAAATTAAAACATCTTTTATTGTAAACCACACTTAAGTAAGTGCACAGCTCAAAAATTATCTTGAAATAGTCACCTTAACGTTATCAACGTTTCCTCCGATGCGTTGAAAGGCGTATGCGTTTGGTTGAGCTGTGATCTTGATAACATATATTTCACCCCAGTCTTCGCCTATGTTTATTTTTTATTGTTGAGTTGTTCAGTATATATTGGGTTTATTTGAACTGTAACTATTTTTTATAAAACCTCATGCTCATTGCATCGATCAAAAATAATGAATAAGGTTTCAGGTTTGCGTTATAAAGTTATAACCAACGAACATACCGAACGAAGGGTCAGTTTTTGGTCAATGTCCCCATCGCTGGGGGGATATCATCAAGTTTAAAATATAATATAGATGAACATACCGGAAGAGGCAGTAGATCCGTCTTCATCTGTGAAGGTGGCTGAGCAGCCTACATTGGAACCATGGTACGCGTCGGTTAGTGCAGCAAATGTTATTACGTTGTAAGTACTGAGTCCTGCCCTAGTTGAGTTTGCTGAAAGGTTGAGAACTATAACATATAATGTATGCTGTATACATCATGTATAATGTATAGTTATAAACAGTAGTTTCACTTGTCCTACCTAGTCTCTACTACCGGATATTATCCCTGGAATCATAATGTATAATGTATAATTTATAATGTATAATGGTTTTATTATTGTGATACGTTTTAGTTATCAGCCTGTTATGTCATTCCGCTGCATCTTTATCATGTCTCTTAACATAACTAACATAAATAAATAGCCTGGGGTCCCCAAGTATAAATTGTCCATATAGTTGTAGGATAGGTTAATTATTAATATCAGAGCCTATCGAAATAAAGAATGTACCCTGGGTGATCCCTGGACAATTATCCGCTGTACTTGTTTCCTCTTTTGTTTCCTCCGTTTTTGTTTCTTCTGTTCGCTTCTCCGGTGTTTGGGCCTGGTTACACTTTCCAGGAACGTCAAATGTTATTTCTTTTGTTCCGTCCCCCTCCTTTTTTATCCACCTTGTTATCAGAATTATCATTATTTGTATTAAATACTTTTCAAATTTTACAGAGTACAGCAATAAATTAATATAAAGATATAAAATAGAATCGTTTGAAATATTGCCCCCATCTGTACAATATGCTAATATGATTGTTTGGCAAATCCAATGCTTTCAACACTAATATATAACGGATAATTTCTGAGACAGATAATTAAAGGATGTATGTGCTGTTATAAGCCCCCCCCCCCTCTCGCTCTCACTTTTCAAAATCCCCTCCCCAGGCCTACCATCTACATAATTATATTCCACTGAACCCTTAATATTTTGTAATGATCACAGTATACCGAAGTCATGAAATTAACAATGCATAGAAACTGAGACACACATTGATTTATATATTTTTTAACTCATTGCATCATTGAGTTTTGATCACCATATTTAATTATATTTTTAATTACATATTTAATTACATATTTGATTACATATTTACATATTCAATTACATATTTACATATTTTTAATTACATACTTGATGGACTCCTTAGCGACTTCCTTATTACTTTTCACATTGCACGTGATCCGCAGCTGAGCTCCTAATACAACGTAGAACTTCCTGAACGATAGATCCAAGTTGTTGAAGGATTTCTTCTCTATCTCCGCGGTCCGGAACTGGATTGTAGTTAGATCACTGAGAATGGAACCTGGGGAGGCTATTTTTTCGTAGGTCACGTTTGCTTGGTATGTCATACCTGAGGTGTTATAATGTCACTACGTTAAGGGGGCATACACCAAATAAACGGCGAGCAAAATTTCAACCCGATACCGCAAGAAATGATTAACTTATAGCGTCTCAACCACAAAATAATTTTTTCCGAAAATTGCACTCTTAACCAGGAAATGGTCGATTACAAAAATGGGTATCCTCAAAATAATTTTTTTTGGTGTGGAAACGGTGCGCTAGAAGATCACTGAACTGCCTATGAGGTCATTTGGTCTGGACAGATTTGGTGTATGCCCCCTTAATACGTTATTCACAGTTGATTTTGTATGACAGGTCGGTTTGGTATCATAACACGAACATTTCAGCTTAGAGACGAGAAGAACAAACCAAATTCAGGGAAGGGTACGAGAGGGGTTTGGAAGGTGAACTCCATGTACTCAACATTGTTCTCCTTGATTGCCTTAGAGGTAACTTCACCAGTGTTATTTCCCTGAAGTGAGAAAGATGATCTAAGATTGAATTTGGCAGAATTCTAAAAAGGAACCTAAACTGAAACGTACGTTCGATTCTCTCCACGATTAATGTAAGTAGAAGTAGAAGTACTACTACTACTACTACTACTACTACTACTACTACTACTACTACTACTAAAATAAGAATTTTATTTGCTCACAGTGCTTGCAATCCAGACAACCGTGGGGTGTGGATGCAGCGCTGGGTCTCCGTCCCCAGGAACAGTTACTCGGCACGTTATGATCTGTTGGTGTTCTGAAAAGGAGATCGTGTGGCTTTAAGTGTAATTCAAAAACTTTTTTATCAACCTCTTAAAAAATTAATACAAATTTAGATCTTAATGTTGGTGGTTATCATGTTTTTAAAAAAAATCAATAAACTTTCAAAATACATCATATTATTTCAAAGAAAATTCGCCTAATGACCTTACCTGCTTTGACAAGTGACCGAGTGTAAACAAAATTTGGGACACCGAAACACCAGTTGACTATTTCATCTTGCTATTCAAAAAATCTTCCAAAATGACTCCTTCTATTTTGATGACTTTCCGTTTATCATAGCGTTATTTGGAAATCTAAGTTGCAGTACCTCAATCGTGTCAATTGTGCCATCCACAGTGAACTCATCAATTGGTCATTCCAGAAGCATTCAGTCAAAACACCGAAATTTTGATCGTGGAAAGCTAAAATATCAAAAATTCCTACCGGTAGGGCATTTTCATAATTTTCCTTTATGTTTAGCTACCAGTACCTCAATGGCGACTTGCGTCAGTCACAATGACATCATTGATTGGTCACTGGTCAAAAAATTCAATCAAAACTGTGAAATTGCGGTCAAGGAAACGGCATAAAAGGTTATATTAAAAAAAAAGGTCTCCTTCTTTTTTGGTATGGTAGGAAATTTTCAGATTTTGGATTTCAGCTGACCCGGAAATATCTTTAATGAAGGCATTATAAATCGTATTCATTGTAACTGTCGACATGAGGAATAACAACATGAACTAAATATTTGATGACTTACTAGCAGTGACGAAGGTGTAAAAGGGAGGTTGCACTGTATAACTCATCACAGTGAAGACTGTCTGTTTTATCTCCTGTGAACCCAGACTGCTTCCCTTAGCTCCACCGGTTTGGAACACCACTGCACAGTAGAATGTGCCCTCTTGCTCTTTCGCTACCTGTGGCAGATTGGAAAAGTTATATTCGAATTCTTCTGCTGATATACTTAGGGTTACAAGGGTACATGTTTTTCAAATTTAATTATAAAGGCTGTATTATTGTTACTATTGATATCATGATTATTATTTATCGCTCAATTTTCAAACCTGGTCACCATAAAAACCATAAAAAGTGCATTTTTGTATTTAATAACTCGATCTTAAAGCTATAAAGAAAAATAATAAAAAGTTTCTGATCCTAAAGAAAAAGAACGAAAAGTTTCTGATCTTAAAGAAAAAGAATGAAAAGTTTATGATCTTAAAGAAAAATAATGAAAAGTCTCTGATCTTAAAGAAAAATAATAAAAAGTTTCTGTTCTTAATGAAAAATAATAAACATTTTCTGATCCTAAAGAAAAAGAATGAAAAGTCTCTGATCTTAAAGAAAAAGAATGAAAAGTCTCTGATCTTAAAGAAAAATAATAAAAAGTTTCTGTTCTTAATGAAAAATAATAAAAAGTTTCTGATCCTAAAGAAAAAGAATGAAAAGTTTCTGATCTTTAAAAAAATAACAAAAAGTCTCTGATCTTAATGAAAAATAATAAAAAGTTTTTGTTCTTAATGAAAAAGAATAAAATGTTTCTGATCTTAAAGAAAAAGAATAAAACGTTTCTGATCCTAAAGAAAAAGAACAAAAAGTTTCTGATCTTAATTAAAGAAAAAGAATGAAAAGTTTCTGATCTTAAAGAAAAAGAGCGAAAGGTTTCTGAATTACCCCTAGCCACTCTATTGTGACATCAGTTTGTCCCTTTTCTTTGTCATAACGTGCACTCTGCTTAGCGTCTCCTTTGTAGCTCGCACCATCCTTATACCACACAAACTGAGGTGTATTAATAGATTACTAGATTAATTGAATAATTGATTTATAGATTAATTGAATAATTGATTAATAGATTAATTGAATAATTGATTTATTGATTAATTGAGCTATTCGGAGCTCCACTTCGTGAATTTCTGGTGGGATATCTTTCAGCTCGATTTTAAATCAGAGTTTGGGAACCAAGAAGGCAAAAAATATTGCTAAAGCATGGGTCAATATAACTAGTTTTAATCATAATCATAATAATTGATAATAATTATTATTCAATGATACTAATTAAGAATTGACGAACTAAACATTTAAACAATCAACAGAACTCACACTGGTAACGATAGTAGCATCTTTAGCATGACAAGTAATAGCAACATCTGATCCTGGTACTGCCTCCACGTGACCTCTTTTCATGTTCACCTCTGAGAAACAGGATTTAAAGTTACTGTTAAAGAGGGGTGTGAGGTGGAAACAAGATGTAATGTTACTTTAGTCGGTAATATTATGGGGCGTCTAATTTGGTCCTTTTCGGTCCGAAGAACCATATTTATAACACTCCATATTTTTAACACCCATGATAATCCCCCCCATAATATTACCGACTAAGGTATTGTTAAAGCGGGGTATGAGGTGGTGGGGGGGGGGGGGGGGGGGGTATTGTTAAAGCGGGGTGTGAGGTGGTGGGGGGGGGGTATTGTTAAAGCGGGGTATGAGGTGGTGGGGGGGGGGGGTATTGTTAAAGCGGGTGTGAGGTGGGGGGGTATTGTTAAAGCGGGGTGTGAGGTGGTGGGGGGGGGGGGGTATTGTTAAAGCGGGGTGTGAGGTGGTGGGGGGGGGGGGGGGGGTATTGTTAAAGCGGGATGTGAGGTGGTGGGGGGGGGGGGGGGGGTAGTGTTAAAGCGGGGTGTGAGGTGGTGGGGGGGGGTATTGTTAAAGCGGGGTGTGAGGTGGGGGGGGTAGTTGTTACAGCGGGGTGTGAGGTGGTGGGGGGGGGGGTATTGTTACAGCGGGGTGTGAGGTGGTGGGGGGGGGGGGGGTATTAAAGCGGGGTGTGAGGTGGTGGGGGGTATTGTTAAAGCGGGGTGTGAAGTGGTGGGGGGGTATTGTTAAAGCGGGGTGTGAGGTGGTGAGGGGGGGGGGGGGTTTTGTTAAAGCGGGGTGTGAGGTGGTGGGGGGGGGGGGGGTATTGTTAAAGCGGGGTGTGAGGTGGTGGGGGGGTATTGTTAAAGCGGGGTGTGAGGTGGTGGGGGGGGGGTTTTGTTAAAGCGGGGTGTGAGGTGGTGGGGGGGGGGGGGTATTGTTAAAGCGGGGTGTGAGGTGGTGGGGGGGTATTGTTAAAGCGGGGTGTGAGGTGGTGGGGGGGGTATTGTTAAAGCGGGGTGTGAGGTGGTGGGGGGGGGGGGGGGTATTGTTAAAGCGGGGGTGTGAGGTGGTGGGGGGGGGGGGGTATTGTTAAAGCGGGGTATGAGGTGGTGGGGGGGGGGGGTATTGTTAAAGCGGGGTGTGAGGTGGTGGGGGGGGGGGGGGGGGGGGTATTGTTAAAGCGGGGTGTGAGGTGGTGGGGGGGTATTGTTAAAGCGGGGTGTGAGGTGGTGGGGGGGTATTGTTAAAGCGGGGTGAGAGGTGGTGGGGGAGGGGGTATTGTTAAAGCGGGGTGTGAGGTGGTGGGGGGGTATTGTTAAAGCGGGGTGTGAGGTGGTGGGGGGGGGGGGGTATTGTTAAAGCGGGGTGTGAGGTGGTGGGGGGGTATTGTTAAAGCGGGGTGTGAGGTGGTGGGGGGGGGGGGTATTGTTAAAGCGGGGTGTGAGGTGGTGGGGAATATTGTTAAAGCGGGGTGTGAGGTGGTGGGGGGTATTGTTAAAGCGGGGTGTGAGGTGGTGGGGGGTATTGTTAAAGCGGGGTGTGAGGTGGTGGGGGGTATTGTTAAAGCGGGGTGTGAGGTGGTGGGGGGTATTGTTAAAGCGGGGTGTGAGGTGGTGGGGGGGGGATATTGTTAAAGCGGGGTGTGAGGTGGTGGGGGGTATTGTTAAAGCGGGGTGTGAGGTGGTGGGGGGGTATTGTTGAAGCGGGGTGTGAGGTGGTGGGGGGGGGTATTGTTAAAGCGGGGTGTCAGGTGGTGGGGGGTATTGTTAAAGCGGGGTGTGAGGTGGTGGGGGGGGGGGGGGTATTGTTAAAGCGGGGTGTGAGGTGGTGGGGGGTATTGTTAAAGCGGGGTGTGAGGTGGTGGGGGGTATTGTTAAAGCGGGGTGTGAGGTGGTGGGGGGGTATTGTTAAAGCGGGGTGTGAGGTGGTGGGGGGTATTGTTAAAGCGGGGTGTGAGGTGGTGGGGGGGGGGGTATTGTTAAAGCGGGGTGTGAGGTGGTGGGGGGGGGGTATTGTTAAAGCGCGGTGTGAGGTGGTGGGGGGGGGGTATTGTTAAAGCGGGGTGTGAGGTGGTGGGGGGTATTGTTAAAGCGGGGTGTGAGGTGGTGGGGGGGGGGATATTGTTAAAGCGGGGTGTGAGGTGGTGGGGGGTATTGTTAAAGCGGGGTGTGAGGTGGTGGGGGGGGGGTATTGTTAAAGCGGGGTGTGAGGTGGTGGGGGGTATTGTTAAAGCGGGGTGTGAGGTGGTGGGGGGGATATTGTTAAAGCGGGGTGTGAGGTGGTGGGGGGGGTATTGTTAAAGCGGGGTGCGAGGTGGTGGGGGTATTGTTAAAGCGGGGTGTGAGGTGGTGGGGGGGGGGTATTGTTAAAGCGGGGTGTGAGGTGGTGGGGGGGGGGGGGGGGGGGTATTGTTAAAGCGGGGTGTGAGGTGGTGGGGGGGGGTATTGTTTAAAGCGGGGTGTGAGGTGGTGGGGGGGGGGGGTATTGTTAAAGCGGGGTGTGAGGTGGTGGGGGGGGGTATTGTTAAAGCGGGGTGTGAGGTGGTGGGGGGGGGGGGGTATTGTTAAAGCGGGGTGTGAGGTGGTGGGGGGGTATTGTTAAAGCGGGGTGTGAGGTGGTGGGGGGGGGGGTTTTGTTAAAGCGGGGTGTGAGGTGGTGGGGGGGGGGGTATTGTTAAAGCGGGGTGTGAGGTGGTGGGGGGGTATTGTTAAAGCGGGGTGTGAGGTGGTGGGGGGGGTATTGTTAAAGCGGGGTGTGAGGTGGGTGGGGGGGGGGTATTGTTAAAGCGGGGTGTGAGGTGGTGGGGGGGGGATATTGTTAAAGCGGGGTGTGAGGTGGTGGGGGGGTATTGTTACAGCGGGGTGTGAAGTGGTGGTGGGGGGGTATTGTTAAAGCGGGGTGTGAGGTGGGGGGGGATTGTTACAGCGGGGTGTGAGGTGGGGGGGTAGTTGTCAGCTTGCTTGCACGCGAGTGGGTGTATTGATACAGTTTCTGTTGTAAGTAGCCGCAGTTGATTGATGTTAATTCAAGATAACGCTAACGCCTCGCAGTCATAGTAAGAATATGGTTTTATAAACTGGAAAAGAGTTATAAACTACACACCAAGTATGATGAGCGATGTGGCAGCAGATTGGAGAGTAAATGCCGGGTACTCCCCGTAGGTGACCTTCAGCATGTATTTCTGTTCTATCTGAGCAGTTCCAACTTTCAAACTGAGGATGAGTTTTATAAAATATCGTTATTTTGCCTAAATCTTAATAACACTAGTCTTATAACAAAGACAGTTAGCATATCTAATCATTAAGGGGGGGGGGGGGGGGGGGGGGGGGGGGGGGGGGGGGGGGGGGTTCACCCTGATTTTTTTGTGAAACTTGGTTTCGAGACCGGTGACCGAACTTGAGTTCTATTGTTTTGTGCGAAGTCAGTTTTGCAAATATCGCGAACTGAGATATGGGCAATTTTGTTCATTTTTTGCGATTATTTGAACACAGAATCCACAGTTAGGTAGATACTGAGCTGATAATCATAGATAATGTGTAGTATAGGCTTACCTTCCATATGAAGTTGATTTCGTTCAAAAATATTGATATTTGACCAAATTATGGGCCAAAATCGATCAATATCGGTGCGTATGCCCAAATATGGTCATATGGTTTTTGGCTCATAACTCAGTCAGTTTTTGTCCAATCTTGATGAAAATTCATATACGAGTTCAAGGGACCACTAGCTACAAGCAAAGCACCTAAAATCTGGATTTTGGGCATGTTGAGGGTATTTGGCTAAATTGGGCCTACTTTGGACCAAATATGGGCGTGACTGCCCCGCGGGCACCGTTTGGCGGTTGGGGTCCGGGACCCCCTCAAAAGTTCGGTCACTGGTCCTAGTTTGTTGGTCAACTGCTATCTCGAAACCAAGTTTCACAAAAAAAATCAGAGTGAACCCCCCCACAAATCGGCAAAAATCAAAGATTATCAAACTCATGACACTAACGACAAAGGCGTAGGCCGAAAAGTCGACAACTGTTTGTTTGGAGACTCTCAATTTATCCCAAAACATAAATTTCACGACACTAACGTTGAGATAAGAGTACTGTTTATTCCAGTAGGCGCGTTATCACTCTCATCTGCTGTCAGTGTAACTTCGTCTGCTGTATCTAGATTCCCGTATGCTTTCTGTATTTCCTTTACTCCTCCAACTTCCACTTCAGTTTCCGTGTACTGTAATGTAAGTTTACTTCACACGACATAAAAAGGAAATTTAACTGGGAAATAATAAACCAATATCTTAAGCAGTATCAATATTATTGTTTTTTCTACCTGCACCAAAATAAAGAACAATGTTAATGATTTTCATACAAAGTTACAACGAATTCTTCATGTTATGCATCTTGGGTTTGGACAGGATATGACCCGTTTAAAATATTTCCATCACGTTTCATTACATAATTCTCAATTAATGTAATAGATGTGTAGTGTTGTAATTAGTCTAAACAATTTGTTTTTACCGTGAACCATTCTGCTGTTGGCTTGGCTACAGAAACACCGCCTCCTGTAGGATAGGAAATAGTCGCACTCACAAAGGCCTCTCCGTTCCTCGCTCCCGCGAAGAAGGAGGGTGGTTGTTTCTCTATATCTGAAGAAAAAGAGTGAATTTGTGAGGTTGCTTCTCTATATCTGAAGAAAAAGATTAAATTTGTGAGGTTGTTTCTCTATATCTGAAGAAAAAGAGTGAATTTGTGAGGTTGCTTCTCTATATCTGAATAAAAAGAATGAATTTATAAGGTTGTTTCTCTATATCTGAATAAAAAGAGTGAATTTTTTAAGTTGTTTCTCTATATCTGAAGAAAAAGATTAAATTTGTGAGGTTGTTTCTCTATATCTGAAGAAAAAAAATTAAATTTGTGAGGTTGTTTCTCTATATCTGAAGAAAAAGAGTGAATTTGTGAAGCAAAGCGCCTGACCGTAACAGTTTCTCAGGTTATGAATTTCTAGAATGTTCAGAAAAACATTCTATGAAGTCATGTCGACTGTTCAGTCATAATGGTGAAATACCAATAATATTTAATAATAATATTTAAGCCTGCAAACAACTAAAGTGAGAACGTGACTCACACAGAAGCTTGAGATATGAGCTAGTTAGAGATGGTAGAGTAGCACTCGCAAACTCTATCCAGCAGGTGTAGTTACCAATGTCTTTCTGCGAGACCTTTTTCAAAGTTACTGTGAACTCTGTCTTCCTGGTTTCGATGTCAAAATTACCGTTTGATGTTTTGAAGAGAATTTCGGCGGTAGGGTCCCCAACCTAGGTGAATTAACGTAAGCATATTTAGCATACTTAGCATATTTAGCATATTTAGCATATTCAGCATACTTAGCATATTTAGCATATTTAGCATACTTAGCATATTTAGCATATTTAGCATATTTAGCATATTTAGCATATTTAGCATATTTAGCATATTTAGCATATTTAGCATATTTAGCATACTTAGCATATTTAGCATATTTAGCATATTCAGCATACTTAGCATATTTAGCATATTTAGCATACTTAGCATATTTAGCATATTTAGCATACTTAGTCCTTATCACTCAGGACACGCGCTATATATTTTGAGAGCGAGATATTACGATTAATAAGAGAATAAGGTGGTATACACAAAGTAAATACACTGGAAGGTTCAAATAATGTGGTAAACCTTGACAAGCCAGGCACTAGTAGCAGAAGTGGTGGAGTACCCGTAACACACTGTTGTGGCATCTTCATTATCAAGACCAGTTATTATTTCGTTTTTGTTGAATGTCACTAGGGATGATTAATTATTTTGATGAAGTGGAAACAAATCTAAGCAATGTTGAATGTAAATTATAAAATAGAGCTTTCTAAAATGTTCTCCAAAATATTTCCAGAAGATGAGAAGATAGTCATTATTTTTTTTTAGAACTTGATAAGAATTCTTACTCTGAACCACAAGCAAGGTTTTATTACTAATCAGACTTCCAACACCTCCAATTTTAGTAAAGTTTAATCTCAGGGCGTAGTCCTTAAGCCCTTGCTCCAGAGTGGTTACTTTGAACGCAGCTGTTACTGTTGCTGTTTCTTCTGACCACTGAAACATATTGTTAATTAAAAAATATAAATTCACTTGAAACCACTGAAAGATTGTTGATGCTATTTTGAAATTATGGAGTTATAATAAAGTTTAAGCTACACTTCAGAGAAAAATATTCAATTATTCATTCATTTAGTATCAATTTAATCGCCGACCATTTTGTAAATCTTTAAAAAAAAACGATTAAAAAGCTTATACGTCAATTTTGTGTTCAACAGGAGTGATGCTGATGTATCCTTCTTCCAAATATTCAAGAAAGTCGATGTTTGTATCGGGTGGTCTTCTCGAACTCGACATTGTCTTCGGGAACTGTAAATTGATCAGAAATAGTCACAATCACAAATATTATTAATTACTAATTACTTATTACAAATGTTATTAATTACTTTTTCAACTGCCAGCGCCGATATCGTTACCCTTCATCCTTGCTTAATTTATAAACAATGTTTATAATGTATTGAGTTTTGGTATCAATTTGAATAACCATTCTAACCGTTATTGTCATAGACATCTCGAATAATGTGCCCACGTTGGCTGCGATTCCCGTCGGAGGTTGCTTGCTGACATCTGAGTAACAATAGATTAACAAACTTTGTATTTTAAAATTCCTTATTGATGATGTGATAAATCATCAACAACAAGTCCACAAATATGTTTTATTTCGCCATAATTTCCTTTTCTTGAGATCGCGCATGTCTTACAGTATTCATCGTATTATTTAATTAGTAGTAAGGATTTACAGTTTTATAAAGGTACCGTTAAAAATTCACCTGGTAAAATTTGTGGAAAAAAATCATTCACTAAATTTAATCACTAACATATTTGGTAGATGTCGACTGCCTGCTCAGAAGGCAGCAGGATATTGTTTGAGCAGGAAACCATGCACCGGTACCTTCCCTCGTTGGTAGTTTCGAACTTCGCTATTTTATACATGATATCCGAGTACACAGCGCTGTCATTCCTTGTCAACGTCATGTTCACTGAAAATTGTTCTCTAAAGCTAAATTAATCAGCGTTCACCAATAAAAATTACTTTCAGTTACGGCTACTGTGCTAATAGTAATCGCGTTTTGTGGAGCTTGTCAACACCCACTTACTCAATATGGAGCGAGTTTGTGGATTCTGGTGGGGAGATGTGGCATATGTGTTTACTTTAAACTTGACACATGATCAATCCATGTATGGTACAACTGCATGGATTGATAACTGCATGGATTGATCACGTGTCATCTTTCAGGTAAACAAATATGTCTCACTTCCCCACGAAAATCCACATCTATAAATTTATAAATACCGTAATTAATCTCAGGTGTCTGAAATTTAACAGCGTCTCCCCAACTGTTACATGTTGAAAGTGGTTTCAATTCCGCCTGAAACAGTTAATTATTTAGCACGCACAAATTTATACGTGCAGTATTGATAATGATAGTATTATGGCTACTTTCCGTGTAAATTAATCACAGCTTCGCATGCGTTAATTGTAACCAAAAAAGTAAATAAATCTAACTAAAAAGTAAGTTATAGTTATTAAAAAGTAAGTTATAGTTACCGTGTCGTCTAACAAGGCGCTGGCAGTAGGTCCTGCCACGCAGAATTGTTTTGATCCGTCCACCTCCACATATAGCTGCCCATATTTCTCACTCCATGTTGTTGTAAATTTATTTTTAGCACAGTCTTTTGTCATTATTAAACCAGTCCCATCGGCTGCCTTCTTATCACTGAGCTGAGAGTGATAAGAGATTGCAGAGGGACAGTGGCGTAACGTTACGCCACTGCAGAGGGAGCAGATTAATCATAATAAATTGAAATATAATCCCTGAGCTGTGCGCACTGCTGGTGTTGTGTGTGTTATATTCACTTCGAGCGTTTTGTTAAAAAATAAAGTTGGTGTTTGAGAATTAAGTTATCTTTTCAAAATGTTATTTAATTCGTGATATCTATAAGTAGATATTCGACAAAAGAAAAGTTCTTACTCCGAAGCAGAGACCAGACAAGCTGTGAAAAATGTAATCAGTGTTTACTCGGTAAAACTTGTCTTGTATATCTGAATAGTGAATAATTGTAATTATTATTACTGAAGAATGATCATAGCGTACATGAGTAGCTGCTCACCACTGCTGACCACCTGTACATGAGTAGCTGCTCACCACTGCTGACCACCTGTTATACAACATTAAAATAGAGCATTGAAATGGTGAATATACAGGGTGGCCCATACAGGGTCACTTTATTCGTATCAGAATTGCTCAAAAATTTCAGAAAATATAGATATGGGTCAAACTTAGATTTCCTAATTACGTGAGTTATTAAAGGGTTGCATGTGGGACGTGGGTAGTTACTTCTGGGCCACCCTGTATGTTAATTATATCAGTATAGCATTAAATAGCATATTTAGCGGTCTAAGTATGATTTGACTACGTACATTAAATGTGATTATACAAGTTTGGTATCAATGTTATCATGCATCTGATGGATAAACTTTTGGAGAAATCACTAACCTGCACATGCCCCAAAGATAACCAGATCGTTTTCGAAAGTGGGATTGCTCTTAGGTTTTAGACAGAGGGTTTTTTCCTTTAAGTTGATCATCTTGAAACTTACCCCACCAGCTAAAGAGGTTATGGAGTATGGTGAGTTAATTTATTGATAGTCCATCAAAATGAGACAAGATTAAACATATTAAACAAATTGTTCATGTTTAAAAGAAGGTTGCCGTACTCTTTGCTGTTTCATCGAAGAGGATGCTAACAGGGTAAACTGCTGAAGCGGACTTGCTCGACATCCTACACACCAGAGTGTACGGTGCTCCTTGTACTACTTCTATCTTCGAGGTTTTCACTTCTAGATCTCCAAATAATATATCTGGGGCATAAGACAGGTTATAATATATCTGGGGCATAAGACAGGTTATAATATATCTGGGGCATAAGACAGGTTATAATATGTCTGGGGCATAAGACAGGTTATAATATATCTGGGGCATAAGACAGGTTATAATATATCTGGGGCATAAGACAGGTTATAATATGTCTGGGGCATAAGACAGGTTATAATATATCTGGGGCATAAGGCAGGTTATAATGTATCTGGGGCATAAGGCAGGTTATAATGTATCTGGGGCATAAGACAGGTTATAATATATCTGGGGCATAAGACAGGTTATAATATGTCTGGGGCATAAGACAGGTTATAATATATCTGGGGCATAAGACAGGTTATAATATATCTGGGGCATAAGACAGGTTATAATATATCTGGGGCATAAGACAGGTTATAATATATCTGGGGCATAAGACAGGTTATAATATGTTAAAGAAGCTTCAAACGAGTGAAGAAAAGTGTGTCAAACAGTATATATACATTCAATTAAATGGCAGAGCACAATCAAATTTTAAGTGTTCATGTTGCAATTGGCAGAGCACAATTCATTGCTACCAGGTTATAATATGTACTTGGATCTTATTAAACTACATGTACATTCGGAAAAAAACCGTGTTATAGCGAGGCGTTTTATATGGATAGGTATTACTGTTTAATTGGTAATCTTTATATATTTTTGATTCTAAATGTTTCTAAAATTGTGGAATAAACTGATACATAAGACCTAAGATACAATAGCTGATACCTAAGATGGCGACTTTAGCTGGGGGTGTTTCTAAAATTGTGGAATAAACTGATACATAAGACCTAAGATACAATAGCTGATACCTAAGATGGCGACTTTAGCTGGGGGTGTTTCTAAAATTGTGGAATAAACTGATACATAAGCACTAAGATACAATAGCTGATACCTAAGATGGCGACTTTAGCTGGGGGTGTTTCTAAAATTGTGGAATAAACTGATACATAAGAACTAAGATACAATAGCTGATACCTAAGATGGCGAGGGGAGGGTCATGTTCAGTTTCATTTTGAACTGATCCGTTTCAAGGTCCTGTAATATGGGCCAGGGCTCGGTCTAGACTCTAGATCGAGCTTAGACCGTCCGTGCGTGGTGAAGAGCCACATCCTGCACGAGGTGACCCTGCTAGACCGGCATGTCATTGAAGAATCCGACTGTCTGGGTCAACTAAACACGGCGGATCTAGAGGAGCACATACCTCGAAAAACAAGCCGGGTTTATGAAGACCTGCACCCGTGATTGTACCTACTGATGAGGGTATTGGATTATAGTGTCACATCCAGGTTGCAGTGGCGCCGTGCCTGGAACAATGTCTAGCCATTAGACAAAATCCCCCCTCACTTTTATGATGACACACGATAACAGCACTAGGGTTCAAGCCCCTAACTACTCAGTGGCAGCTAGCTCCCTGTATGACGGGCCCTCCCTAAAACCCCCGGGAGGGGTGGGTCCTGATAGTTGCAGCAACCCTGTTACTACCCTTTTAGTTCGTAGGAAAACCCCTTTTCAGGTTAGCACCTTCAACTGTAGGACTCTCAACCCTGTATCACGTAAACAGGAGTTAGCTCACTCAGCCTTCATGCATCATAATGATGTTATCTCCTTGCAAGAGCATCGCCAACACCACAAAGAATCCCTAAGAATTGAAAACATCTTATCATATCAGCTCATCACTGCTTCTGCTACGAAGAATTCAGTTAATGCGTCAGTTGGTGGTGTTGGGTTTCTTTTATCTCCTAGAATTCAGAAATCTCTCCTATCTGTAGAGAAAGTTAATAGCAGAATCATCTTGCTCCATGTAAACGGGAATCCTCGCCTCACAGTCCTCTCCTGTTATGCTCCTACTAACTGCAGTGATATTGAAGATAAAACTGCATTCTACAACGCTCTAACCAGGATCATCTCTAAGGTGCCTCCTCACAACATGCTAGCAGTGTGCGGTGATTTCAACGCGAAGCTCAGTAATAGCTACGGTTTCACATACCATCAGTCAACCAACGACAACGGCGAACGACTACTGGATCTGGTAGACCAACACCAGCTGATAGTTGCTAACCGCTGTTTCCAGAAACCGGCTAATAAAATTTGGACCTATGAAGACCCCAAAAGAGCAAAGCATCAAATTGACTTTGTACTCTGGCGTAAGAAGTGGGCAAACAGTGTGAAGAACTGTCAAGCGTACAACATCATGCAAACTGTCGGTTCAGATCACCGGATTGTAACATGTTTTGTTCAAGCCAGCTACAGAGTCAACAAAACTCCAGCACGGGACCCTCTTAGGAGCATTGACTGGACTCCACTGATCCACGATTCCATCATGAAACACCAGTATGCAGTGGAAGTGAAAAACAGGTACAGTGTACTCCTAGAGGAAGCAGAGCTCGAGTCCGACTACGACCTGCTCGTTAAAAGCGTTACAAGCACAGCACTTAAGGTGTTGCCAAAAAAGAGGAAGAGGAAAAGGGAAAATCCTTACAACGATCCTAATATTGCACACCATCGAAATATCCTAAAGGATGCGTCCCTGAGTCACAGGATTTCCCCCTCTTTTTCGTCCAAGGAAAAGCTTGAAGACGCAAAGAAGCAACTGGACGAAGCCTATAATGCTGCTACTTCACAGCACATTCGACAACAGACTGACCTGCTGGAGAAAACTAACCCTGAGCACAGGCATCGCAGTTCCTGGCACATCATCAGGCAACTAACATCTTCCGACACTGTGCCATACTGCAAAGTGCCAGGAGGCACTACCGAAGAACGGCCCAACATCTGGTTCGAGCACTTCAAGTCCCTTCTAGGCACAGAACAGCCTCCGCCGGACCTCACCCTCCCCTTCTTCAACCAGCGAGTCTCTGACACCCTGCCCATCAGCTGCTCATCCTTCAGCATGTCAGAACTCGACACGGTTCTGAAGTCCGCCAAATCCTCCAAGTCACCCGGTCTGGATAGCATCCCTCCCTCAGTCTGGAAGCTTCCCCAGCTACGTGAAAACCTCCTCGGATTCTGTAACAAAGCACTCATGGATGGTGTGATCCCTCAAGCCTGGAAAACGGCCTCAATCATTCCTATCCCCAAAAAGGGTGATCTTACTAATCCAGGAAACTACCGTGGCATTTCACTGGCACCGGTTGCAGCGAAAGTTTTTAACAAGCTCATCCTCAACCGGATCTACCCATTCATTGATCCCCTCTTGCGGCCAAACCAAAATGGTTTCCGTAGAGGAAGATCCACTCTCCCACAGGTCCTTGCCCTACGTCGTATACTCGAGGAATGCAAGATCGGAAATCGCTCAGCCGCAATTGTGTTTGTCGATTTTTCGAAAGCGTTCGACAGCATTAACCGGGATGCCCTTTTCCACATCCTCTCCCTCTACGGTATCCCTGCTCCACTTGTAGATGCTATCAGGCTTCTTTATGACTCATCGTTCTCTCGTGTCCAGACCATCGACGGCCTTACTGACTTTTTTAGGACACTTATTGGAGTTCTCCAAGGGGACACTCTAGCACCCTTTCTCTTCATCATCGTCCTTGACTATGTCCTCAGAAGCTGCATGGGTGAAGAATTCGGTCTTACCATCGTGCCTAGGAAAAGTCGAAGAGTGCCTGCGGTCAAAATCACAGACCTTGACTTTGCTGATGATTTGGCCTTAATGTCAGACACCATAGAGCAAGTCCAACTTCTGCTGACAGACCTTGAAAATGCAGCCGCACAAGTTGGTCTTGCTATGAATGCTTCTAAGACCGAGTTCATGACCATCAACATCCCTGACACTGTCGACTTACATTCCATCTCAGGCCGCCAGATTAAACAGGTTGATGACTTTAAATACCTCGGCTCTTTCATTGCGGACAGTAGAAAGGATTTCAACACAAGGAAAGGAATGGCCTGGTCAGCCTGTATTAAACTGCAAAAAGTCTGGTCCTCTGGCATTTCCGAACAACTGAAAGTCAAGTTCTTTAGAGCCTGTGTCGAACCAGTATTGCTCTATGGATCAGAGACATGGACCATAAACAAGCAGCTTGAGAAGCGCCTCAACGGATGCTACACCCGTCTTTTAATGAAGGCCAAGAACATCTCATGGAAGAAACATCCAACCCTCAAGCAGATCTATGGCAACCTTCCATCTATTGCCTCAGTGGTTGCGTCGAGGCGTTCCAGATTTGCTGGGCATTGCATGAGAGCTTCTGACCAAGTTATCTCCACTATCCTCCCCTGGCGACTTGCCCAATCCGGCCGTGGAAGGAGACCACTCACCTTCCTGGACGTAGTAGCTCGTGACACTGGGCTCCAGTTAGACGACCTTCGAACTGTTATGTGCGATCGAGACGTGTGGAGGCAGACAGTGAATGGGATTTCGATTGAGGATCGCCCAAAGTAAAAGTAAGTAAGATGGCGACTTTAGCTGGGGATGTTTCTAAAATTGTGGAATAAACTGATACATAAGAACTAAGATACAATAGCTGATACCTAAGATGGCGACTTTAGCTGGGGGTGTTTCTAAAATTGTGGAATAAACTGATACATAAGCACTAAGATACAATAGCTGATACCTAAGATGGCGACTTTAGCTGGGGGTGTTTCTAAAATTGTGGAATAAACTGATACATAAGAACTAAGATACAATAGCTGATACCTAAGATGGCGACTTTAGCTGGGGGTGTTTCTAAAATTGTGGAATAAACTGATACATAAGCACTAAGATACAATAGCTGATACCTAAGATGGCGACTTTAGCTGGGGGTGTTTCTAAAATTGTGGAATAAACTGATACATAAGAACTAAGATACAATAGCTGATACCTAAGATGGCGACTTTAGCTGGGGGTGTTTCTAAAATTGTGGAATAAACTGATACATAAGCACTAAGATACAATAGCTGATACCTAAGATGGCGACTTTAGCTGGGGGTGTTTCTAAAATTGTGGAATAAACTGATACATAAGAACTAAGATACAGTAGCTGATACCTAAGATGGCGACTTTAGCTGGGGGTGTTTCTAAAATTGTGGAATAAACTGATACATAAGAACTAAGATACAATAGCTGATACCTAAGATGGCGACTTTAGCTGGGGATGTTTCTAAAATTGTGGAATAAACTGATACATAACTACATAAGAACTAAGATACAATAGCTGATACCTAAGATGGCGACTTTAGCTGGGGGTGAGTCGTATGACGCTGTGCTTTCATTAGACTTAGCAACAACATAGAGCCCCCTTCCATCATCATTAAGTGTAATCTTATCTAGAGTTGCTGCAGCTGTCATAGTCTGGGTCCAGAACGTACCTCCAACGAATACCTCCGCTATTTGCAGTTCCTGAAATCGATCTCGTCAGAGAAATGAGGTAATTATTCCACTGTTTATAGTTTGTTTTTAGTCAGTGTAATATTTCCAATTTGATCAACATTCGGAGTCCTACCTTTTTGCTATCGCTCTGCTCAATGTAGATGCTGCCAGCATTTTTAGGATTATTCTCCAGATCATATGTGAAGTAGATATCAGTGCTCGTGGTGGTACTGATCAGAGAGGATCCCAGATATACCTTAGATGTACTTTAATTCGAGGATTGTTGAAAAAAAGTTATATGTTAAAATCAAAATCTCTCTCAAAATATATATTATGGTAAATTTCTTGAAATTGTTATTTTCTTGAGTAAAATAACTTGTCTCACTTTAACTCCTTGATTTCTTGCTTGAGTTTCGGTTCCAAAAAGAATAACGATATCATAGATAGTTGCCAGATACAAAAAGTCAATGTTAATCCAACATTTTAAAGTATCCTTCTTTACTTGTGCGAGATTTCCTGAAATAAATAACAAATTAAAAACCTTGAATCAATAAAAGGATACAAATTATAACATCTTCATAATTGAGAATAAACAAACATTATAATTAAGAACTAAAACTCAGACACCTCCACTGTTAGTCTGTGTTGATATTTGGTCGATGGCTCTGTCCCAAGTTTTCCCATCTACTACATCACTCCCCGAGGCTTGCCCTCCTACGGCTACATTCTCCCCAAACTTGTCACACCTGATCATATGATTCAGTCACTTTTCATTCATCTTATTTGATTATTATAAATGCTGCTTTAAAGTGAAGAAATGCATAATTTAGACATTAAATGGACTTTACAATTTGTTGCCCCAACGGCATGGGGGGCGCCATAACGCCATCGAAAGGCTAAAGCATCCACCGAAAGCAACTCATCTTTTGTTAATTCATGTATTTTTAAAGATGCCACGGCAAATTAGCTATAATCTAATAAAATACATGCAGAGAGCTGTACGTACCAGTGTACTTTAGCAGAGGTTCTATCAGCCATGTAAGTTGGTGCAACCCAAAGAGCCCCTTTCATCCAGCAAGTCTTACTTGATAGACTGAACTCCACTCCCGCACACTCTGGACAAGGGGAGATATAAAACGGAAATTACATGAATGAGGTTGTGATGTAGGGCCTGTCGTGATATCATAGATCGCTTAGGTTCCGCCTTCCAGAAATTGATTGGGATCATTTAGAATAAATAATAATAATCAGACTAATTAGAATAATTAGAATGAGATTGTGATAATTTGTTATCAACCTATACTAGTCTACAGTAATTAAATAATTATAAGGATCGCATTACGGCCGATAAGTCATAAGGTACAACTATAGCTGTTTTTTGTCAGAAGACCTAGATGCAACTATTCGGTGTCAGTTAAAATCAATTTCGCGACATATTCTTCAATAAAACTTACTGCATTTGGATTCGTAGACTTCCATGCCTAATTTACCACCTAATCCATCAGATGCACAAGTGTTTGACTTTCCGTTAGTTTTGTATTTTGTGCTGGCGTCTGCAGCGGAGAGGCAATATCTGTCAGTTGTACTGGAAGTGTGTGCCATAATGGCAAACACTGTCCAACCTAGAAGGGAATTGTACATTTTATAGTAATATTTATGTAAATAAGACTACCAAAATGTATCGGTTTGATATAAAATTTGTTTAACTTTCAAATTAATTTCAAATTTATCTTTCCATTGTTTTTAATCTTCTGCCAATTTCGGTTAACTAGAACTGCTTAGTCCCATTATTGAGATAGCTAGGTTCTTCCATCCAGTATACAGAGATAAGCAGTTACTGCAGGTTTCCATGACGACAAACCTTTCTTAGCAACTTCATTTCTGCACCAGGCCAGCGCTGTTTTGTAGCTTTGCTGGCCCAGATTGGCTATTGTGGCGCTCAGCGAGGTCTCTGCGTAGCAACCCAGTTTCTTGAGAGCACACTGGTCTGGATCGCTACCTGTATTTCATTTGATGTCAGGAATGATATTATTTCAGGAATGATATTCCATGGTGAATGATATTATTTCAGGAATGATATTCCATGGTGAATGGTATTATTTCAGGAATGATATTCTATGGTGAATGATATTATATCAGGAATGATATTCCATGGTGAATGATATTATTTCAGGAATGATATTCCATGGTGAATGGTATTATTTCAGGAATGATATTCCATGGTGAATGATATTATTTCAGGAATGATATTACATGGTGAATGATATTATTTCAGGAATGATATTCCATGGTGAATGATATTATTTCAGGAATGATATTCCATGGTGAATGGTATTATTTCAGGAATGATATTCCATGGTGAATGGTATTATTTCAGGAATGATATTACATGGTGAATGATATTATTTCAGGAATGATATTCCATGGTGAATGATATTATTTTAGGAATGATATTCCATGGTGAATGGTATTATTTCAGGAATGATATTCCATGGTGAATGATATTATTTCAGGAATGATATTCCATGGTGAATGATATTATTTCAGGAATGATATTCCATGGTGAATGATATTATTTCAGGAATGATATTCCATGGTGAATGATATTATTTCAGGAATGATATTCCATGGTGAATGATATTATTTCAGGAATGATATTCCATGGTGAATGATAACGGCTTAGTGGCTCAGTCTTAGTGGCTCAGTTGGTTAATCCGGGCCTGGTATTGCTTGAGGTACCAGGTTCGATTCCCGACTCTGTCACTAGCCGTGGGGTGAGCGTCGTCGACGCTCAGCTAAGGATCCTAAGTGGTCTATGCAGCCCCCCGGTCCACTCAGCCAAATACTCGAGAAATCGAGTAGAAATCGGGAGGGTTAAATGAGGAGCTGCCCATTGCAGCAAAGTCTCGGGCGAAGAAAGTATGGTACACACTACCTTAACCGTCACTGGCCTAATGTATAATTCTATAATTGAATCCTTCGGCTTCCTGTAATTGGCTGGTTACACACTTGTGTAACAATGTGGCTGTTGGAATGTCCGAAGTGAAATAAGTGTTGAGATTTAAAAAAAAAATTATATCAGGAATGATATTACATGGTGAATGATATTATTTCAGGAATGATATTCCATGGTGAATGATATCATTTCAGGAATGATATTCCATGGTGAATGATATTATTTCAGGAATGATATTCCATGGTGAATGATATTATTTCAGGAATGATATTCCATGGTGAATGATATTATTTCAGGAATGATATTCCATGGTGAATGATATTATTTCAGGAATGATATTCCATGGTGAATGATATTATATCAGCCAAATTTTATTGAATAGTGTTTGGCCATTTAAATTACGTTTGTCCTGAAAGAATGAGACTATGAGAGTTCTGGCTTCTCAGATGACCGAGATATGAAGCATAACGAGTTTGTTCATTACGTGTGATCAGGTGATTGGGTTGATGCTAGATCCGTATTATGGGAATCGTGCAGAGTGCCCAATTACGGTGTCGTAATTGGGTAATCATTAAGAACCCAATCAATTTTGCTAACGAGATAAACAAATTGCTTGATAACTTCGTCATTTTAAATCCGTTTCGCACCATCTTTTCAGATTATATTTCGGATTAAATGACCTATTGCAAAATGTTACAACGGAGTCTTTAACATGTCACAAACACCAGTATAAGCAATTCAATGTTGATTGGGTGTGGCCCCCAAAAATCGAATTTTCAAATTTTGGTGACGGGATCCTCGAACAAGTAGGTACATTATGCCATCAGCAAGGCAACAACTCTCAAATATAAAACATATCGGTGGTATAAGACCCAACTTATGGGTACTGACTTTTGGCCCCCCTGTATATTACTTTAACTGATAACGTACTTGTTGGATTTTCTGCTCGACACAAGTTCAAGCACTTGTTGGGATTGGCAGCCTGTGCACTCTTGAGAGTGTACGCCGACATGGTCTTAATACCCGGCAGAAAACACTTTGGGACACCGACCACGGCGTGAGAGGTAGTTTTTAGTTCGAAGGTGTTTTGAACTGTTAGTGTGTGTTTCGCTTCTGGAACCTGGGAGGAGTAAGTTAGGAAATTATTTATTTGCTTGTATAGTCGAAATTATCAGGAATAATATGTATATCCATCGTTAATAGTTTTAAAGGACTAAAATCAAGGTAAAATTTACTAATTTATTTTATACTAATATCCAATGGGTCAAAATAAAAGGGACCAAGAATTGAAGATTAAAACTTTAAAACCAGGCAGCACATTCAAGAAAATGGAACTTTTAAACCGTACCTCCAACTTGGTAGCGTTATCCTGCCAAGTGAGCACCACAGGACTAGGCAGGTACTGAGCAAGCATTGTAACTGTAACGGAAGTGTCTTCTCCTACTTTTCCACACCCAGCTGTTGTTCCCATGAACTCTGGAAGTTGCATTTGACAAACATTTCATTTCACAGTGCTGGCAAGGACGACCGTGGCTCTTATACATCATATACTATTATACTTCCTATACAGCTATACTATTATACCCCTTTTTCATGCATTAAGACTAATCGGAAGTCGTTAAGAAGGTTTATTTTTAGTTCAAACATTCCATAAATTCCGTGGAAGTTGTATTTGGTAAACATTTCATTTATAACTATTAAAAAATGTTTGTTTTTAAAAATTAAACTATTTATCAAGTTATTGATTGTGCCAACGAGAAGCAAACTGCGTTAAACAGGAATTTTCACCGTTTTAATATGTGTCAAAAAATCGTCGTGTTCTCATTGAATAATTAATATGAATTCGTATTGAAATTCTTCAATTGTACTTGAGTATATATATATATATATTTTATTTTCTCACCTCTACCACTCATTTGGGATTTCCACCCACCATAATTTGAATTGCTGAGTTACATAAATTTCTAAATTTTAAATACTTTCAACACTACTATATAACAAATAATTTGAGGTTTTTACTGCGTTTTAAACGACGACCAACAGCTTTTAGTGGGTTTATCAAGTACTTTTCAGCACTTACCACTATATTTATTTGGTTTGAGTTAAAGTAGAGAGGTCTCAAATCCTTTACAGCAATGGTTATCACTGATGTCTATGACAAGATGGAAAAGGAGTTAGAAACGTTAAACGACAGTTTAAAAGGTAAGAAGAAGTTGGATACTATAATTGCAGATTCTTTAGACTTACCCACAGGGAATAACAAGCCGGATATGTTTGAAGTTATAAAGGAACTATACAGTTTCAGTAAGAGGGCCGTGTCACTACTGAAGACCAAGTCTATACTAGACACACCTGCACCACAGGAAGGGACAGCTACCGAGGCACTAGATATAGTGAGAAAGGAGCTAGCACAATTTAGACAAATTCTCATTGAGCACAATAAAGGTGGTCCAGATATTATACCTGAGATTAAGACCAATCTCGGACCCAGTGAGACTCATACTTTAACGCTGGAAGGGCAGAATGAGGCAGATAAGATAACAGAAGAACTCTGGTCCTCAAAGGTGAAGAAACATGTTGCATCAATACTGCCCAGCATCCCTATTAAGGGGGTCTCAGGTGTCAAAGAAGGCACAGCAAGGTTAATATTCGAGAACAAGGAACTTATGGAGAAAGCTAAAGATGCTCTTAGTGTGGACTACAAAGTGTCTGCAAAATCCCACACCGTGACAATGCTTGAACCTAAGCTTACTATGTATGATCTCAAGGGAGATTTTGAGTCATCTGAAGAATTGCGCCAGAGCATCCTTGATAAGAACAGTTCCATTAAGAGTTTAGTTGAAGATGAGAACAACACTTTCAAGGTTATTTTCTTGGAGAAAAACAAGACCTGGGCATGCCTACAAGTGTCAGTGAAAATCAGGCAGTCTATAAGGGAGTCAGGTGACTTTGTACACGCTGATCTTGGACAGTACAAAGTTAAGGATAGGTATCATGAAATCCAGTGCTTTGACTGTCAGAGCTTCGGACACATGAGTGGCAGTGATTACTGTAAGTGTAAGAAGTATAATGCCGACCCAGTGTGCTTCTACTGTGCAGGTGCCCACAAATCGAAAGATTGTGAGAAGAAAACGGCAGGCCAAAGATCTAGTATCAAGTGTACGAACTGTAGCAACAGTAAAGACAAGAATGTTAAAGATAAATGCAAGACACATTCTGCAGCTGACAGATTATGCCAATCTTATGTAATAGAGCAGAGTTATATCATGGCCAGAACGAGCGGATGTGAAACATCAAAAAACTCTTATCTCCAGTGGGCAAAGATTCGACAAAGAGAGCTTGGGATAAACTAGTCTTAGCCACGTTTAATGTTAATCGTCTAGTGAACAAGACAGTAGAGGTTCTTGAACATCTAACTGATGAGGGGGTTGATATCTGTTTTCTTCAGGAGACTTTTCTTAAGGAAGCAGATACTGCAAAGCTACAAGAGATACGAGATTATGGTTGGGGTATTTTATCCAACCCAAGGAAGCATCGTAGTGGTGGAGGAATAGGTATGATTTTCAATAAGAACCTTAAGTTGAAAAGCAACGGTAGAGTCAAGAAGTACAAGTCTTACCAAGTCATGGAAGTTATACTTGAAACAAATAGTGGGATAATCAGACTTATTGATGTGTATAGACCGCCTTACACCAAAAAGGCCAGGTACACTGAGTGCCACTTCTTGGAAGAATTCAGTGAATACCTGTGTGATTTGTCCGGTAAGCCAGGAACCCCGGTGATTGCAGGGGATTTTAATTTACATGTTGAAAGACCTAAAGATCTTTACCCCGCAAAGTTTCTTTCCCTTCTTGATCAGCTTGGTTTCATCCAATGTGTACCACTAGAAAGAACTCATAATCAAGGAGGAACTCTTGACCTCGTGATAACGACCAAAGTCTTCAAAGACTCTATAACTTCTATCAACATTGTGGAATCTGGGACTAGATCAGATCATTTTCTTGTTAAATTTGTAGTGTCTGTGAGCCTGAAGACCTCTTTGAATGATACTAGGGTGATGAAATACCGTGATTTTAAAAGTATTGTGGTTGAGGATTTTAAAGCAGATATTTTGGTTTCTGATCTCTGTAAAAGAGATGCTTGGTGCTCTGAGAGTCTTGATGAGTCAGTTAAGATGTACAATAGTATTCTATTGGAACTTATGGACAAGCATTGTCCTGTGATCAGTAAGGAGATGAAGAGTGAAGACAAAGGTAAACCTTGGATGGATCAGGATCTGAAAGCTTTACAGAGGCAGAGGAGAGCAGCTGAGAGAGCCTGGAGGAAAGGCAAGGGACAGAAGGATATTTTTGTCAACCTCAGGAACAAATTTATTGTCATTGAGCGACAGAAGAGGATTACTTACAATAGAAAAGCCCTCTTAGCCTCTGCGGGAGATACGAAGGCTCTGTACAAGAAAGTTTATAGACTCACGGGTGAAACTACCCAAGAAAGGCCACATGGTAATGACACTAAAAAACTTGCAGAAAGTTTTAAAGTTTTCTTTGCTGATAAAGTGAATGATATCAGACTTGGGATAGAAGAAGAAGGAAGTCATATCGGAGGGAACTTGTCATCGTCAGAGAATCTTGAAAGTACCTATTCAGGGCCATCATTTGATAAATTTCACTCCATCACTAGGCAGCACCTGTTACACACCATTTCTTAGATGTCTAACAAGTTTTGTAGTCTGGACCCTATTCCAACTTTCATGTTGAAGAAATGCTCTCAGGAGTTGGCACCGATCCTCCTGCACATAATAAACGGTTCTATGTCGCAAGGTGTGTTTCCAGCCGAGATGAAGACTGCACTGGTCAAGCCCACTATCAAAAAGAAGAATGCTGATCCAGATATTCTGAAGAATTACAGACCAGTCTCAAATCTTGCAGTTATGTCTAAACTGATTGAAAAAATTGTACTTGAGCAGTTGAACAATCACTTACATTTGAACAGTCTGCATTGCCCAGTTCAGTCTGGATACAGAGCGAACCACAGTTGTGAAACCCTGATGGTCAGGATGGCAGACGATATTCTTAAGGAAGTGCAGAAGAACAACATTGTGATTGTAGTCCTACTTGATCTCTCTGCTGCTTTCGACACGATTGATCATACAATCCTTCTTAAGAAGCTGGCAAAAGATTTTGGTATTAAGGACTCTGCATTGAAATGGTTTAGTTCATACCTCTCAGGCAGGTTTTTCAAGGTTAAGTTAGATGACTCATTATCTGACTTCCTGTGTCTGTTGTTTGGGGTACCCCAGGGCTCTCTATTGGGACCTATCCTGTTCATCTTATACATTAAGCTGCTCCAGGAAATAGCTAGAAAGTATGGTCTCGATATACAGCTTTATGCAGATGACTCACAACTTTATATAGCTTTCCACCCGATGAGACCCATGGAGCTGCAGAATGTCACTAGTAGGATCAATGACTGTCTGTCTGAAATCAAAGTATGGATGGTTAATAATTTCATGAAACTGAATGAGAGCAAGACAGAATTGTTAGTCATTGGAAAGCCTATGGTACTGAAGAAGTTTGACCTTGAAATAACAATAAAGTTTGGTGACACCATCATTACACCAACTGTATGTAAAAACGATACCTGGAAGAGTCTTGGAGTGTTACTAGATGAATCTCTCAACATGGAAAGGCAGATAAACAACGTTAGGAAGAACTGTTGTTGGACAATGAATAATCTAAGAACTATCAGAAAGTATCTAGATGAGAGAGTTAAGCTCATGCTGGTCAAACAACTGATCATATCAAAGCTGGACTATTGTAATGCCCTTTACATGAATCTTTCAAAGACTAGAGTGAAGAAGCTGCAATCTGTTCTAAATGCAGGGATACGTTTCATTTACGACATCTATGACAGAAATACTGACTTGTCTCCTTTCTACAAGAAAGCTCATATCCTCCCTGTTGAAAAGAGGATATTTTTCAAAGTGTGCCTCATCTGTTTCAAAGTGGCCCATGGATTGGCACCAATGTACCTCCAAGAGTTGGTTCAAAGGAACAGAGATGATAAGGCTGTCAAAGAAACCAGAACAAAAACAGCATGCAACCTTCTTATGAAGATACCTAAGTTCTCTAAATTGAAGGCAACTAGCAGGCGGTTCAGCAACTATGCACCTGAATCATGGAATTCTCTCCCTCTTAATGTCCGTAACATCGAGAATATTGTCTCTTTTAAGGGTAAGTTAAAGAACTATTTGTATGATTAGCTATAGCCTGTTTAAGCTATTTTTTGTGGCTTCTAGTCTTTTTTGTGTTATTTTTTGTTTTCCGAGTATCCACTTCTTGTTTTTCTGGTTTTTATCGGTGTGTCAATAAAATCAATTATGTAATATGTATACTTTAACCATTTTTCTGCGACAGTTAATCTGATATTATCTCTTTAACATTATTTAGTATTTTTTGATTTATGAGACCCGTGTTTTGTTTTTAACTTTCTGCTCCGAGGAGGAGAGAAAGTTATTTGAGGAGAGCCGCTCAGACATGGGCACCGTATTGTATAAATTATTTAGTTATCTTTATACAATATCTTTGTCGCATAGTAGCGGGGTAGTAAATACAGTGTTTCGTTTCGTTTCGTTTCGTTTCGTCTTATTTGATTGATTGATGGAATGATATTTTGAATAAATTTACTAACATGTCTTTATATCAGGATGACTGTAAAGGTACATTTTACCGACATTTGAAGTCAAGGCGTTGTTTTACTGATAGTTGTGGCTGACTAATTATATATATATATATATTACCAACGATGCGAAGAGCTATGGGGTCTGACTCTATCCTTTCTCCTTCCAGATCAACTTTCAGCTGATAAAGACCCAAATCCTCTGTTGCAACTTTTGGGAAGCTTAGCGTGCTGATTGTACCATCACCTCCCACGAACGAAGTTACCTAGGATACGGTTAGTTTTAATATTTATGATTATCAGCTATCCTGAACAACATCTCTCAGTGCTCTTACATTAATTTACTTACTTTAGAATAATTAAATTAGGTGTGTTCATGATTCTTTTATGGTATTTAATGTATTTTCCCTGAAATCGACTAAGAAAACGGAAGAAAGTTAAGAGCTTACCCTGTCCTTATCCTCGATTTTAGTAGTTGGATTGAACTTGTACCAGGTAGAATTAATATCTTTGATGCTTGAAACTACTGTTGCCCTCATTTCTGTCTTCTTTCCGATCTCTGCTATCACATAAGAAGTGTCCTGTTTTATCGCTGAAATTCGTTCATGTTAAATAAATACGAGGTAATAGTGTTAGTACAACACAAAAACCTCGGCCTCATATGCGCTCGTGCGAAATACCAATGATGATATTTACACTATGTATATCATTTCATATCGGATTATTTTATTATTTATGAATCAAATCTTATGAGTAATTGCAAAACAATAATGAGCAACCGAAAAACAAAAACAATAATTAATGTTTCCTAACAAATTGTTCCGATGTCGATTTCAGTAGAGTAGTATATGGAGTCTACTCCAGCTTTCGTGACTTTTGCTCCGATCATGACTTTCTTGTTTTGTAGATCAGGTGTAAGACTCAGAGAAAATACAATTGTAATTGTTCCTTTTTCTGTGTCTTTTTCCTCTTTATCAGGCGCGTCCACAATAGCAATTTCTTGGGATGTCACAAAGTTAATTAAACGAAACATTACGTAATCAGACAATAATCAAAATGTGTGGCAGTTGGCAGCAACAGGAGTGTGAAATATGCCTATGACTCTATGATATCATGATATCAATATTTCAATATTTCTGATGAATTGAACATCATTTTTAATTTTTATAGATGTGAATTCTGAATACTGTTGATTCCATATTTGTTTTGGCTGTAAATTTGGGTTTTATTTGCTCAATCACTATCATGTGTGTTCGGAAAATACAGTTCACCTCCCCACCAGTACCCACTGAGTACTCACTTTCTTCGTTGTATATTTTAAAGTCCGTAGCTGTATAAGGGGTCATGCCAGGTTCGTCTCTCCAAATTATGGTAACCTGCTTCGCTGATCCTCCAATTACACCGATTATTACGGATGGCAAAAATACCCAACCTGATATGAAAGTGAAACAAAATATGTTAATACTTTAATATGAGACTAATTATTTTGGAGTAGTAAATAAGTAAATAACCTATAGCGAAACTTAAGTTAATATGAAACTGTTAATACTTTCAACACTACTATATAACAAATACATTTTGGTTTGGACACATAGTAAGACAGCACAAATATAGGTGAATTCTTCGTATATTTACATCACTAGCCTATAAAAATAAAATTAGGTTAGACTAATGAAAGCAATTTAAAAATTCAACAACTTGAAAATTCAAACAGATTTTAATCTGAAACTTTACTAAAGAGCTCAATGTGCTAGGTAGAATGGACAACAGAGCATAACAGATTATTCAGCGAGTAACTACAATCCTATTTAACCCAAAAATATTAGTTCTAAATTTTGAAATAAGAATGCTCTCTTCTCTATCAAGTGCTGTTGGTCGGACTTTTCTTACTACACCTAATTTAAAAACTCCCATAGTGAAATCAGATTTATGCGCTAGAAAACAATGCATGGAAAGTGCCGACTATATATATATATAACAAATAATTTGAGGCTCTAATGATGTAATTTTACGGAGATTTCAAGCCTTAAGTTGTGTCTTTCCCTTCGTGTCCAAAAGCAATATAATATGAGATTAATTATTTTGGGGTAGTAAATAACCTAGCGACACTTCTCGACGTCAAACTCACTTTCCAAAAATTTAAATCTAACAATAACATCAGTTCGGACCATTTATTTCTATTTGCTTTCCAGCAGATAATGCAGATAGAATAACTGGTGATTATAACGCTTGATACTAAACAGGTCCAATAATGAACAAAGCTTACCAAAGTAGATAGAACGAACTGCATTCACCGAACAGTCTGGATCATTGAGCGCCCAGACTGTGTTATCATACGTATAATCTAGCGCTCCTTCACCTGCAGTCAATATTTATCAAATCATAATAGTAGTATAAATAAATGAAGTAATAATGTGCCTTTTTTTATATTCAAGTTGACATCAAGGAATACGACCAAGGAATACGACCAATAAAACGATAGTTTCAGTCCATGCACATTTTGCTAATAAATTCATAAAGTGATTCAATTCATAGACCATAAGATCTACTGCAATCCTTCATGGACAATTTGATGGAATTTAATCAATGTAAAACTACGATATAAGTCTATACATTTAGCTTAGCTATCAATACATATATGTATGATATTACGATCAATGCAAAACTATAAGAAGAATCCTTACCAGTAGCAACCTCAACAGCCACAGTGGTTACAAACTTTGCATCCAGCACATCAACAAGGTTCTCTCTTTTAACCCACTTAGCTGTGGAACTCACAGCAGCATGGGCGAACTTCAGGGTTTTATTGTTCACTGAGTTCCACAGGATAATCCTCTCTTTTGGGTTGAACAGGTATTCTGGGTTATCTGAGGATTGGTCACATGTTAGCACGCGATGAATTATCAAACTATAGCATTACACAAACATAGTATGAAACCTACTGGCACTTGTATTGATACAAGGGATCTTCCTGAATGTTATCAGAATGATATCAATTTTTTTATTTTTTTATTTTGTTTTATTAAACAATTTTGTTTTATTACTTTATTAATTCAACTAATGGTACCTTCCTCAGCAGCATAAACTTTAACTTCAGCCAGTTGTATCGGGTGCTCTGTAGAAGTGGACCCGTTCACATACACAGCAGTTGCAAACTTCTTGATGTCGTCAAACTCGTAGAATGTCTTCGCAGCGACATATGCAATGGTCCCAATTAGCTCTGCATCAGCGTGGATCCTGTACCCTGCTATGTTTTCAGGGGAATCTACCCTGTTGTAGATGATTATTTTTTTAATGTACATCTTCGAGGTGAACGTTAACTTCCACCATGCATCTTTGCCACCAGTCTTTGTAAGAGAAATCTTCTTGCTGGGAATGTGGAGCTATTTGTGAAATCTGTGAGGCTCTTAAATAAATACAAAAGTTTAACGTATTGAACTTACTCCACTCTAAAAGTAAGCTGTCTTACTTAAAAACTATTGCTAGTTAATTCTCGAAAATCCTAAACAGTTTTAAGATAATAAAATCTTCAACCAAAAGATACCAAAGTACAAAAATTCATAACGAAATGTTTATACTTTTCAAGAGTTCCTGAATAAACCCCGTCGATGGCGTTTGATGCTACGAATTCAGCGTCATGGTTGTCTATTTGAGTTGCCGTCGCCGTTCTAGCCACGTTTTTGTAACGCCCTGTCGGAATACACAGTACAATTTTCAAAAGATCTTAATGTAATAGTTCATTCACGAAGCATCGATCAAGTTTCAAAAGTGGTGAACGAATAATCAATTCAATTTCTTGTATGTAACGTATTTAAACCTATTTGCCTCAAAGGGGTATATTATTGATTCAGATACTTGATATCCTAATTTCTTACCGAACATGATAACCCCATTGGCATCGGTTTCCGAAGTCGAGGTCTTTACTGAGGTGAACTCTGTATCTGCAGCGTTAGCCCATTGTTTGCATTCGCTGTACCTACAAATTATTAATCATTTTACATGGCTTTATTTGGTTCAGTGTTTGGTTAAAATTATATTTGGTTTTATTGTTAATTATCAAACACAAGAAAAATTTGGGAAACTTGGGAAAGCTAATGATGATGGATGGTAAAATTTAAATCTTAGCATACTTACTTAACGTTGCCCATGCCAATAGTGCTTTTAATTAAGCCTCTCACCATAGGAATCAAACAATCAGAACTAAGCTTTAGTTCTAGTGCGTTGGAAAGAGTTGCCGGCAGTTTCTGAAGAAGTTTTTATGTGAGTAACAATTATTATACATGTGGTTCGTATTATTAGTTACATTTGTGCAAGCAGTTGTTAATTCACAGATCATGAGCTATAACTATATATTGTATAATACCAGTTTTCCGAAACTTACATCTTTACCGATTCCAACGCAGTAGTTGGTAGCTTTATGTCGTAGGAAACCTCCAGTTATTTGGAACAGTGCCTGCACTGTAAGTGATTTTTATTTCAAAATTCAAATAAACTTTACATCAATGTATTACAGTTATATTTGGAAAAGACCACAATATCTCCTGTGAAGCAAAAAACATGGAAAATTAGAGCTAGAAAAATATTCCTGAGGCTCAACATTACCAGACTGCAGCTGGAGTGAGAAAAATTATGTAAACATCATAGTAACATTTATTTTTAAGATAACTGCACACTCTAAACATCCCTGCTATTACCTGAATTTCATTATCAAATGATATCACAAAAGGTGGAAATCAATATTTTTAGCCATTAGCCAGATAAAAGGGAATATTTTAATTTATTACATACCATCATTACATCCTGAACTTGAAACTTGTATTCCAGTATCCTCTACAACCGGAATTGTTTTAGGGTACCAGCATTTACCGCTTGCAGTAGCAATGATATGCCAGGATAGGTCTGAAAATAGTAAATAAATAAATACAGCCAGGTATTATTTATTCGTTAAATTGATTGCCATATATTGAAAAAAGACAATTTGTTTTTGAGAAAAGACAATTTTATTATTTATCACCAATTCATTTATTCAATACACAATCAATAAATATATAGATCCGAATAAACTTGATTTCAAAGTAAATGATACAAGTATGCTAGCAGCTACATATAGCGCGCTTGTATTTAATCAATAATATTTGAAGCGTTTTATTATATATTACTGTTATCGCATATCAACTATCTCTAGCTATGAGTCATATTATATACTGTAAAGTAAAGAAGAAAAAAATTGAAATACAAAATAGTCATATCGTTGAGTGAATCAAACATTTAAAAACGCATATTATTACCTGGTGGAACGCAGGCAGGACTCAAACTGGGCAACCACACGTTTTCTAAACTGCACATATTAATGGCTGAACCACCCTGTAACATTTCATAATATTAATAGTAATCTTAATTAAGAAATTTATTAATATATCAATATATATGTACTTTTATGCAGAATATAACTGCATTAGTATTTGTCACTATTCTCCTTAAATTTAGATGTGCCATATACGTTTGATAGAAACCTTTTTCAACGCGTAATATGCGACCTGACAGCTGTAACTCTGTAAACGTTTTACGCACGATTGATAAGAAACACGTAATATAAACAATGTACCTGAGGCTCGTAACACGTGATATAAACAATGTACCTGAGGCTTGTAACACGTGATATAAACAATGTACCTGAGGCTCGTAACATGTGTTATAAACAATGTACCTGAGGCTCGTAACAAGCTGTTGTGCACTTAGTTTGTGAAACAGAATGTCTTCTTGGACCACGAGAGTAGGTGGTCGTTCCTTTTATCTTACTTGCTTCCAGGAGTGGACACGTACCTTAGAATACGAAATTGTGGGGTTTTTTTTTAACATTTTGAATATAATTTGAAATATTACAGGAATGTTGTACAAATCTCTCAAACACACACACTAAGTTTTAATTCGGTAAAATTTGTTTGTATATGTGTTTACGATTACATACAATTTTAAAATCAATATAAATGCATAGTACTGTCATGCTTAGTGATTACTATAATAGAAATTGTACCTTGACATATCGAAAGTCGTTTCCATGTTCCACTATGCGCCCTGTGCCAGTGTCCAAAGATTTTAAAGTCGTTCGGTTTTAAATTGTTCATATTAGCCCAATCTTTTTCAAACACAGTTTCTGTCCCTATTTTGAAAATGAATTTGTCCTCAGTGAACTGAGTCTCCATGCTCCAATCCTTCCAGTTCTTCACATCGTCAGGAACTGTAGTGATCACTTTCTTATTTTGAACATTCGAGTGTAACTGAAATACGTTCTACAATAAAAATATTCTTATTGTTAAAAATATTAACGGATCATATGATAACTTTCTAATTATAATGTGGAATTAACGGCTTACATTTATATATTAAGAAGACCAATCAATTTATGTAAAAAAATCGGAAGCTTAGCCATGTTTATATATTCTCTACTACCAAATTTTAAGGAAAGGAAAAGCACTAACAGACATTGTAACCCACTCCGATTTCGAAGCATGATACAAAAATCGGAATAAATCGTCCGTAGCAGCTCGACTGCCGGTCTTTGCAAACATCAAATATCCACTCCAACCTGCCGTGTTCATTGCCCTGGTAGTAGAAATTAAAAGATATTATCAGGTATTATCAGGAATTATCAGGTATTATTAGGTAGTGTCAGGTATTATCAGGTATTATCATGTATTATCATGTATTATCAGGTATTATCAGGTATTATCAGGTATTATCAGGTATTATCATGTATTATCAGGTATTATCAGGTATTATCAGGTATTATCAGGTATTATCAGGTATTATCAGGTATTAACAGGTATTATTAGGTATTATCAGGTATTGTCAGGTATTATCAGGTAATATCCGGTATTGGAAAAGTGAAGTCGGTTGCAGTTCCTTAGAAAAGAAAGATGCTGCCCGAAAATTTACATCTGGACTGAAATAGAACAATGTAATGAGAAGAAAAGAAAAATGGATCAATTGATGCTGGTGACTAAGAAATCGTACAGGTTTTTTGAAGTGACGAAGTCGCCAGTGACGGTGTCTCCGTAGGACAGAGCCAATTTGTCTGTCCAAAACCGACTATCTAAACCAATAACATACGGGTTGTTAATGATCAAGTCACAGTTGCTACCTGAAATATAAACTAATTACAACACTACAAATCTATTACATTTATTGAGAATTATGAAATGTAACGTGATGGAAATATTTAAAACGGGTCATATCCTGTCCAAACCCAGGATGCACTACATGAAGAATTCGCTGTAACTTTGCATGAAAAGCATCAAAAAATATTGTCATAAACTGAAACTCCACACTTTTTCGGCTTCTGAAAAAAATTTACCTAATCTTAAATTTTTGAACTTTGTCAAAGTTTGTATTACCCAGGAAGGCAAGGATATAAAAATATAGATCACTAACAAGTTTTCTTGTAAGCATATCTTCCAGTAGAATCATCAGCTAGTTCGCCCGTGTATATCGCATACTTCTTGGTTTCTGGTTCGTATACTATGCCGTCACAAGGAGGGTCACCTGTTTGTTATTAAACACTAATCATTAACAAATTCTGCGAAACAAACTGTATTAATCAAGACAGAGCGACAATCGCAATATAATCCTAATTAATAGCTTATGTTAAAGTTAAACATGGTGTAGTGAGTTATAATACAAACATTTGAGATACTTATTAAGGATTTAAAAACAAAAAATAAGGAAAAGAAGTTTGAAACTCACCAAAGATCCTAACTTCACACAGAATATACGAATTAGTTTGAAACTCACCAAAGATCCTAACTTCACACAGAATATACGAATTAGGAAAAGAAGTTTGAAACTCACCAAAGATCCTAACTTCACACAGAATATACGAATTAGTTTGAAACTCACCAAAGATCCTAACTTCACACAGAATATACGAATTAGTTTGAAACTCACCAAAGATCCTAACTTCACACAGAATATACGAATTAGGATTGACAATGTGGACTGTGTTTGATACCGTGTCACCACAATGGATAACATGATCCACCATACCAGACACCTGTACTCGAACTGTACCGCAGAGGTAATCTCCAGCATACACCTGCCAATATCAGGGTGGTTACCATTATTTGTTCAAATAATTAGAGATCATATTAGTTGCTTTATAGGGTCAGGAACAACCAAACATTTTTTTTACTGTGCGGTGTCGGATAATATTGACTTGACTTAAACAGTTACCTCAAACCTATCTTGCCGCAGAATAGGTTGGAGATAAAAGTTTACCTGGAGGGGGATTGTTTAAAACTATAATTACAACACCACAAATTTATTACATTTATTGAGAATTGTGAAATGTAACGTGATGGAAATATTTGAAACGGGTCATATCCTGTCCAAACTCAGGATGCATAACATGAAGAATTCGTTGTAACTTTGTTTGAAAAGCATTAATATAAGTGATACGAAAAGTTTGTTTTAGCAGGAGCTTTCAAAATACATGTGTAAATCGTATTCAGCTGGTAACAGTTAAGTTTGTTATTTACAGTGGGATCTACTGATTGATGTAAAAGATCTTTCGTTAATTAATGACCACAGATCATTACTTATTCTCACAGGTAGTAACTTTTAAAATTCTCATGATGGTTTCTGAATTGTATAACTACAATTAAAGAGGCTGTGTGAGAATAATTCACCATCGTTCCGTCCATAGAGGTGTCAATGCCAGCACTTGATAAGATAATTTGGTAAACTCTGATCGTGTCCACCATCGTGATCAACAAATTGCTGCTCTTTTTCAAAGTATTCAAGTTCAAACATGTGCTGAAATTTTAATTTTTCAATAATATCATTCCAAAGGATAGTTCAGCTGTTTATGCTCCAGAATAATAGCGTAGTCGATAACTTTGAAATTACAAAAAAGAACATTTATGATCATATATTGCTTTTGAACACGAAGGGAAACACACAACGTAAGGCTTGAAATCTTCGTAAAACTACATCATTAGAGCCTCAAATTATTTGTTATATAGTAGTGTTGAAAGTATTAAAACATTTATTAACATCGGTGACATTACAGTGAAATACCTTTGGTCCTCATCAATGACAACAGTTAAAGTCTCCGAAATTGTGGCACTTCGTTTATCTTTATTAGTATCATCTGTTTTAGTATCGTCTGTTTTAGTATCGTCTGTTTTCTCTGCTTTATCATTCGGTGTAGTGACGGTACCCTTTGCGGCGTGGTTCGTCAAGTCTATGAAACATAACTGTGTTACAAGGTTATAAATAGTTATGAAATAGCATGATACAATTTTTTTCAAAAAACTGAACCAAGTATTTGTTTACCCCGAATAGAAACTATTTGTTTGACAGTCAATTGTTGGGTGTATTGATAGTGAAACCGTTTAACTAGAATCCCACATTGAGCCATCAAACATCTAAAATTGTGTTTATATACAATCTCAAATCCATATTCACTCACCATAAGCTTCTATCTCACAGAGATCAATGCCTTTTTCGGTAACCGCTGTGACAGTAACTGCAGCAACAGTTACAGTGGGATCACAGTAGTATACGTAGTATGGTATGTACACAGAGGGGATGGTGCCACTTGTGCATTCCGTTGAACCAGCCTTAACCTGGATTATTGTATACCTTATTAGGTTCGAATATTGAATATTCAATCATTCAAAAGAGAAACGAATCTAATAAGTTTATGTCAGCCTTGCTTCCACGGAATATACTTTTTAACGAAATAAAATGACAAAGAGAAGGTGTACAGAGCCTATTGTCAAAACATTCATTTCTAATAATCGCAAATTTTTTATTTCAAACATGATTGATTCCTACCGTGACATCTATGGCAACGTAACTCCCATAAAGAATAATATAAGATATGTTATAGTTTCCTTCCAGCTTGTGAATAATATAGTTCCCCACTTTTTCACTGGCAGTGCATTCCAATCTGTAAGCACACAAATTTATATAGTTTGGTTGAATTAAAAATCAGATAGACTCCTATAAAGGGATTTATCTAACGCATTACTATCTACATGGATTAATTAAAAATTCTGTTAACACCAAAATTAATGGATGCAACGTTTTTGCAATCAGTTTGATCAAGTAGAAATGATTTTGTTTGCTCACAGTTTTCCAGCAGCGGTAAATGTTTTCCACTTGTTTCCATCAACTAACAAGTGCATGTTCTTCTGAGTAGCTGTAGCTCCAGCAGAATCAAAATAAATAGGCTTCCGGAGCAGTAAGTTACGGAAAGCTGAAAGATACAATATATTAATACTTTCAACACTACTATATAACAAATAATTTAAGGCTCTAAAGCTCTAATGATGTAGTTTTACGAAGATTTCAAGCTTTATGTTGTGTGTTTCCTTCGCATCCAAAAGCATTATAAGATATAATGTATTTTGTGAAGATTATAATATGTTACCATGATGATGATGTTGATCAGGGAGATATAAGTTTACTGCATGATGTTTCTGAGCCCAGAATAATAATAATAATAATGTTCACCTGGTAGACAAGCTCTGGCTGCATCAGTCAAGCTTGAGAACTCGAGAGTGCCTTTAGTTGCCAATTTTTTACCAGTTAGTCGATCAAAATAGCAATTTTCCTGTTGCATTGGTGCCCCTAGATCTGTGTTGGATAATGGTTGGCATTTTGTCGACTCGCCTATTTTCTCACCGTATACCTGTACACAAATTTCGTATGAGAATTTAGAAAAGAAATTAAAGATTTATTGGATTCTTTATATTTTCTTAGATTCGTTTTCTGAATTTAAATATAACAGGTATCAGATTCATTTGTACTTTACGCTGTAAACCTGTACTTCACAGAGATTTAGCCTGTTCTTCCATACGGATTGAACTTTTACAGAACACCCTTCCAAGTAATCGCAGTGGATTCTGTACTTTGCAGTTGAGTTCGAAAACGTTAGAGTTTCAGGACATTTTTGATTTCCAACATACACCTGACGAAGGTATTAATGTTTATTGTTTATTACGTATAAGCTTTTTGAAAAGTTAACATGACCTCACTGTTACGGATGCGAGATTATTATATCTTCATAAATATCCTAAACTTTAAAAACACAATTCAAGATGATTCATTTCGATTAAAAATAATCAGTATTTTTTTCTCTTTTTTTCTTTATTTTTTTATTTTTTTAATCAGTCTTGTTAATTTAATGATCGATTATCTGATCAATTATCTGATGATTCGATTAAACTAATCAAAAATACTACTCACTTCAAGTCTCTCGTTAAACAGATCATAATCCTTGATATAGATGTCAACATATGCAACCTTCACAGGCACCAGAAGGTCGACTTCCCACCAAGGGGATGTGGTGTTCTCTGTCGTGGTGCACAAACTGAAACACGATTAGCGGCAAAATTACTTTTTGATCTATTTCCCGTTATTTTACTTGTAATTAAAAAGTTAAAAGCTTTTTTGTTGATTCGTGGTATTTTAGCAAAAGTTTCTTCGGTGTTTCATTTGAAAGGTTTCGTTATCTGAAATATTCTACTCTGAGTTGATTTAAATTTGTTTTTCATTCACACTAAAACTGTTTGCATATCAAAAAGCTAAATTTGTGATTTATACCTATAAAATCCGGTGGTATTAGCAATTCCATCTACAGCATACCCAGAGTGCCCCCCGTTGAAGGTGGATACTTGTCTAGTTGGCTTGTTAAATGCATAGTTTACCCCTGTTATGATTGGAAACTGTTACCAAAAATGTAATGCAGTACAAAGAAAAAAAATCTTAAAGCAATATTACAAAACTGATCTCTATAATTTATAGTTATTTTTGTTTTAGATACCAAAATAACAATCCCCTTATGTGTCCATGAAACCAAGAGATTTAAAAAGTTATTAAATTATTAAATAAAAAAAAGTTAAATTATTTCACATACTTCGTCTCCAGGTGACATCAATGCAAGACGTGTGACATGCCACTATCGATGCCTGGTTCCAGTGAATTTCTCTATTCAACATCTGAGGAGAAAGCTTTTAATTTCATGTCACTTGACATTAATAAATTACTTATATCTGGTATATAAGCAAAAACTTGACAATTTCTTTATAAATTGTAATGCCAGTTTGATACTTACGTATTTTATAAAGACTTCATTTATGTATATGGAGAAGCCGTCGTGTTCGATGTGAAACTCGACGCTGACCTGTCCACTGTTATGGATCCAATTTGAAGGGGGTGTTGCAGTAAAAGCTTGTGTTTCCTGGAAATATTAATTGTACACTTTCTTGAAAAAGTTGAAAATCGTTAATGAAACTGAACGACTTAAATTTAGACGTCCCATTTTTGCTGTCAAAATAAGCTTGTATATTTATTTTGGATATGTTAGTTTTTACTGGATGCTAAAATTATTCCAACCGAATATTTTTACAGCATTAACTGCCTATCTGCAAATATTCTAATTTGTGTTAATTAATAAATGGTTGTAATGCTAAAACATTAGTTCTTTTCTTCAACGAAAACCACCGGTGGTTATAATTCAACACTAATCTATAGTATTAATGTTCGGTTTGTTTTTGTAAAGTTGCGATGCTGATTGCTGATATAGTGATAAGTATCATTTAAATTTAAAGAAATACAAATAAGTGTCCCCATCTTCCATTTTTTGACGTTTGATTTTGACTAAATATAAATGCTTTGTGATTCATAACCGAAATTAAAAAAGGACTGTTTCCTTCATGGACCACGGTAAATAAGACTGTGTCCAGTGGCGTCACAGTGGCCGACCCCGCTAGCTATGCGGGGGGGGGGGGGGGCGCAATCTTATGGGGCGCCAAATCGTCGTTTGAATGTGGGAAAATTTCGAAAAACTTAACTACGGTACTAGCAAAACTGCGCATTTTGCTCTAGAAACACATTTTTGGAGATTTTACCGGCGTACAAAATCATCTAATTTTTTCAATTTTAGGGAGGGGCGCTAAAAGGGGAGGCAGCGCCAACAGGGGCCGGCACGTTTTTGGCGCCCAGCAATCCTTACTGGCTAGCGATATTACTACAGGGTGATCGCCTTTTCACAGCATGTTGAACTCCGCGCGCGCTCGCTAGTTCATTGCATTTGCACGCTTCAAATATTCCAAGAATGCAATTGTACCGCGTACCACGTGATACGATTCAGCCAATCAGAGAACAACAATCTGCAAAGTTAAAGCTACGCAGTTTTATAAGGCCTAAAATATGACTTTTCGCGATAATTCAAAATCTACGTTGTTTTCAATTTCCCCCTGGGGGGGAAACGTTATTTTTGCGAAACGAACATTTTGCAAAAAACCGGAAGACGCTATCTCTTTTACTTTCAAAGTTAGGCTCCAGCCAGGTTTCCTGGGCGGGGTGGGGGGGGGCGCCAACAGGCAACGTTACGCCACTGACTGTGTCTTTCATGGTGCATACTTAATTAAATTGAAAAATTAACAATTCTCTCTCACCGCTCCCAGGTAATTAGTTTTCATGATGTAGAGATTATTATTGCTGCTCATCTTAACATGAAGAGGAGACAAGTGGAAGTTATCTGAAATATTTTTGTTTTCCTTTTAAATTTTATTCATCTTATTTCTCAGAAACTCAGTTTCTGTCAAGACACTGAGTTTCTACCAAAACGTATGATTTGGTAGACTAATGATTAAATGTATAAAACAGAGCAACAGAAGTTGCAAATTTATTGTACTCCTTGGGTTTCTAAATAAAAATACTGGACATACTGCCTGCATAGAAAGAACATAGCGGAGTGTCAGCGCCAGTTTTGGGCAAGTTCCACATGTTGCACGTAAACACATCACCGACCCTTATGGGTTCTGAAATGATTAATTTAGTTTGATTTTTTTGCATATGAAAACGGGGAGGATAGATTTGAATAGATTTGAATACAGAAACCTATATCGTTATAACTTTATAATTAGCAAATAATTGGCCATATATATCTAATACTTAATAGAGTTGTTTAGAATGGTATTAATTTCATGTAATCTCATGAACTAAATCGATCAAGACTACCTGAGTGTAAGTAAAACAAATATTGAAAGGCAACATTTTTCGTCAACCAATATTTAAAATGTGTATACTGCCATCTACACATAAGCACATAATATACAGGGTTGCTAATGCTTTAGCAAACGTTCAACCACACTTTGGCCATAATATATATTTTACCTGTATACCCCACGATCTTACACTCAGGAATGGTGCAATGTTCGTAACGGGGAGAAGAACCCCCGCTGTTGTAGCACCATGGCCCTTTGTCGCTATCCGACGGGTTTCGACAATAGTTATGATCGCCTAGTCCAGCGAGGGGTTTGCTAGACGGTAGAAATGAATTAATACTATTCATGAACGCTGCTTAGCTGCTAAATTTGGTGTTTCAGGAAACGATATGTTAACGAGAAAGAGTGAAATTCAAGAGTTTCAGTATCCAAAAACATAACGTTTAAAAACCGCTGGTGACTCTTTTGTTAACTTTTCTTTTTTTTTGTTAACTTTTCTTTTTTAACTCACTCCGCAGGTGTATAGCTATGGCTATTAGGAGTTTTTAAGGTCCACTTTTGACAGGTCAGTCCGTTCTCAGTCTTGCTCAGAGTTCCTCTGTAAAGTGTTGCTTTGCTATCTTGGGCTTTGAAATAACATTCTGTATCGTCTGGAAATTAGATTTACTTTTTTAGGTACATTCACTGAATCGCCTGATGAAGAGTAAATCCTTTTTATCGATCAATGATCTAACGATATATTTAATTTTCCTATTGACTCAATTGAAGTTATATGAATTAATTTAAACTTTTAAACAATATGCTGAGTCAGGAGAAAGATTATATTTTGTATATAGTGTCCTTAATTATTGACAGTCTTTCGAGATATAAAATGTTAAAAAACTGAGGATTTATTTTGTATGGTATATGTGTAGTGCATGATTTTTAAATGAAAATGAAAATATAAACACTATTACCTGTTCTGAGGGTGTTGATACGTTGTGCAGCTGTTCTCAATGTTGCTGTATCCACAACTAAAATATCATGGTATAATCGCTTGTGATGAAAAAAACTTATATTTGAAAAAAGCACCAATGTGTATAAATATTAGGTCAAGTTATTTACATTTCAATAGAAATATTATTAGGTTTGTTAGGTATATATTAAATTTACCTCTTCCACAGTATCTGAGGTATTGGTCCATGGTCTTATAATCCTTGTCCACTCCGAACACAGAATAACATCTTATTGGACCTACATTTATTTGCAGTATTATAATCGGATAGTTATTACTCAATAGAGGAACATGCATTATCATTTATCACCACTGTCACTTAATCAACCGTCTTGATCAAAATTGTAAAGCCAAAAAAGGACTTTTCCCTTACATGATCAAAGTATCGCTTCACCGGTCACCCCCAGGTAACATTCACAAACTGTTACAATGAAAGTATAGCTGCACCCCCAGTCCCGGTAACCTGGTAACCTGGTAACCTGGTAACCTGGTAACCTGGTAACCTGGTAACCTGGTAACCTGGTAACCTGGTAACCTGGTAACCTGGTAACCTGGTAACCTGGTAACCTGGTAACCTGGTAACCCAGGTAACCCAGGTAACCCAGGTAACCTGGTAACCAGGTAACCTGGTAACCTGGTAACCTGGTAACCAGGTAACCAGGTAACCCAGGTAACCCAGGTAACCTGGTAACCCAGGTAACCTGGTAACCTGGTAACCTGGTAACCTGGTAACCTGGTAACCAGGTAACCCAAGTAACGGCCAGGTAGCGCAGTTGGTTAGAACGCCTGTCTTACAATCGTTAGGTTGCGAGTTCGAAACCCACTGACTGCCTGGTCGTGGGGTGAGCGTCGTCGACGTTCAGCTAAGGATCATGAGTGGTCTATGCAGCCCCCCGGTCTACTCAGCCGAATACTCGAGAAATCGGGTGTGAGGGTTAAATGAGGAGCTGCACATTGCAGCAAAGTCTCGGACGAAGAAAGTATGGTACACACTACCTTAACCGTCACTGGCCAAAAAGATCCTTCGGCTTCCTGTAATTGGCTGGTTGCACTTGTGTAACATTGTGGCTGTTGGAATACACCGAAGTAAAATAAGTGTCTAGATAAAAAAAAAACCCAGGTAACCTGGTAACCTGGTAACCTGGTAACCTGGTAACCTGGTAACCTGGTAACCTGGTAACCTGGTAACCAGGTAACCCAGGTAACCCAGGTAACCTGGTAACCAGGTAACCTGGTAACCTGGTAACCTGGTAACCAGGTAACCCAGGTAACCCAGGTAACCTGGTAACCTGGTAACCTGGTAACCAGGTAACCCAGGTAACCCAGGTAACCTGGTAACCTGGTAACCTGGTAACCAGGTAACCCAGGTAACCCAGGTAACCTGGTAACCTGGTAACCTGGTAACCAGGTAACCCAGGTAACCCAGGTAACCTGGTAACCTGGTAACCTGGTAACCTGGTAACCTGGTAACCTGGTAACCTGGTAACCAGGTAACTCAGGTAACCCAGGTAACCTGGTAACCAGGTAACCTGGTAACCTGGTAACCTGGTAACCAGGTAACCCAGGTAACCCAGGTAACCTGGTAACCTGGTAACCTGTTACTTACTCTGCAAGAGGGCGACAGAACTAGTCCGCTGGCCCCACATAAAACCCTGCGTGTTCGAAAGAGGCACCATAGCTCCTCCTGTAATACAAACATACATGCAAATTGGTCACAAAGTAATGAAATTAAGAAGCAATTGTATGAATTTTGATGGCCCAATGGCCGTAAAAGTTAGTTTCTTCAATTCGATTGGAGATTAATAAACGACTTACCACCAGCTATGATGTTCGATGTGTATTTGGAAGCAAACGCTGAAATATGGGTAGTAAGAGATTACAAGTTATGATGGCATTTGTACTGAGGTAAGACCTTTTTTAGTCATTAGATGCTCTTTGATGAAAATAAAGTTATCATCAACAAGCGTCGGAACTATTAGACTTTTAAAAACGGCACCCAGCAGTTGAAACCAACTTGAATATCGGCGTACTAAAATGATCATAATATTCAATAAAAGCTGAAACCACGATTTAGCAAACTATAATGGACCAGGTGATGCCAAAATTATACGAACCAATTTTAGCAGTGACGGAACAGACGACAAGTTGAGTCATAGAAGTATGTGTTATGTTTACGTACTCCGCAAGAGGTCCAGCCACACCGTTTATGTAAGTTCCCAGTCCCTGAGGTATGGGGTGTATGACGCTGAGATATCTTATATAAAAACAAAGGAAAGCACACAGGTGGGGCTTGAATTATTTATACAAGAGCTTTAAACAATGTGTTATGGTGGTTTGTAGTACTATTGAAACGATGTTAAAACACATATGGATCATGCTGCTTCCTCAAGAGAAAGGTATCTGTCGATAATTATAAAGCATCTGAACAAAAGTCGACGTAAGATTAAATTGATGAGCTATGTACCTCGGCCGTTACAGTGCCGGTCATTTTAACAGTGTTCACATAAACCTGTATAATATTGAGTTAAATTCAAATTTTGAATGCTAATATAAAATGTAAAGGTATGAATCATATCAAAAGTCTAGATCATCACGAAAATTATTATATATGTTTAACAGCAATACCGTAACATCATCTTGTTTAGCCTTTTGATCGGCTTCAGTGGACAACTGGAGTTTCAGCTCTGATATGAGGACGGGTCGGTTGAGGTAGATAAGAATCCAAGGAGGAATGAATGCAGTCCCATCCACTTTCAAGCAATTACTGAAATTAATTGTATTCGAGCAATCTTTTTAAAAGTGTTTGCCACGATTCGTTTGGGCAAGTGCCAAACCATACAAAACAATTGTCTCAGTTTGGATTGTTTCAGGTGAAGTGGATTAAGATTTTGTATTTTTACAAGGATTGTTTTGCTTTTATTGTATTGGTAATAACATCCATTTTACTATATATAAAGCGAGACGATATATATGGATAATGGAAATATGGATCCGTGCCATTTTAATGACACCACGGCATCAACTTTAATGCGACTTTCCGCAAAAACCGTAAAAGATATACAAAACTTTTTTACTGGGTCAAATGCTTTAATGGCTTTCAAATCAGCATGAAAAAATGAAAAATTGGCCAAGGAATAAGAATTTTAGTGCCCAAAATTTGGACTCCCAAGTGGTGTCAAAAACGCGAATTAAATAGGTAATAATTATTTTAATGTCTCGAGTCTTGGCACCACTTTAGGGTTAGACGGGTTCCTGCTAATAGTTACTAACTTAACAATGCATATCAGTCACGTAAAAGATTTAGAAATAAAATAATGGAATTATATTCGCTTTAACAGTCAGTTCAATGTTCACTGCTTTAAAGCAAATAGTTATTCAGACATGCTGAAAAAAACAAAGCAGCTTAACAATACTATAAAGCGACTCAGACCGGAGTGCATTTATATCCACACAGGGAGCAATGATTTCCTCAAGAAGAAATCAAGCCTTGTGGGTAATGTGAAGGAACTCTACGAACATCTACTGAACACCACAAAGGCCCAAATATGCTTCTCAGCGCTGATACCCTCCTCCAATGATTTTAGCATTAATGAAAGAATACGTGTCGTCAACGAGGAGACTAGAAACCATGTTAGTTGGCTCCGCGAACACAGGCCGGATGTCAAAGATAGGATCTTCACCTTTACCAACGACAAAATTGGCGATCAAAACTTTTATTCGTTCAACACAGGATTCGAACTAAGACAGAGAGGTCAAAACATGCTCTGGCTTCGCCTCCGGGAGGGCCTGAGGAAGACCCTGCGCCTCCCCCGAATAAGCTACCACGACAATGATGAAACAACTACTAGACGCAGCACCAACAGGTTTAGCAATGACTAAACCCACACAAACGAGGTCCCGCCACTCCCTTAAGTTCCTGTGCTGGAATATCAACCACTCTCGGGATAAAGTTGAAGGAGCCAAGGTTGACATTCCCGAAATTCGTGAGCTCTTCGACAACCACGATATTTTTGCTCTGCAAGAAACAAAAGGGTAGATCAACATAAGTAACTACTGTTGCTTTAATTCTAACAGGAAGGGATCAAATTCAGGAGGGGTATGTATAGGAGTACACAAAAGCTTAAAAGCCGGTGTAACCAATGTTCGTATGAACTCCACGGAAGATATCGTTGTAGTTAAACTGAAAGCTAACTACTTCGACCTAGACCGAAACACCTATCTTATCAACGTCTATGACTCACCCACTAATGGATCCTTCAAGAAGCGAAGAAGAGGTCTAGAAACTGAAGACAGTATGACAACTCTAGAGTATCTTCAAGAATTCTTGGCGGGTGTACCGCTCAACGAGGATGTCATCCTTCTCGGGGATTTCAATGCTAGAACTGGCACCCTGGACGACATGTTGTCTGACCATAGTCAAATGAAAGACACCGAGATCGACCCCCATTTCTTTAAACAGTTGGCTAAACGCAATAACTCAGACCCTAAGCTAAACACGAATGGGCGACCCTTCATTGAACTCCTCCAAACGACAGGCCTAGTCATCCTCAATGGTAGAACTCTCGGTGATATATTCGGTGAACCCACTTGTATTCAGCGCCATGGCGTCAGCACAGTTGATTACCTCTGCGTCTCAACGAGTCTTCACGACAGAGTCCGCCACCTGAAAATTGAGAGCATCTCTCAATACTCCGATCACAGGGCGCTATCAATGTCAATATCCACAAATCCTTCAAGAAGGATTTCTACCAGTCTTGAATCACCAGATATCCAAGATGCTCCTAAATCTTTTAAATGGAACAGATCAGAGAACCTCTCTGCCGATACAGCAACTAAGTTCCGGCTAGCACAGAGTGATCAGCCATTCAAAGACAAAATGGACTGCCTCCTTAATCAACCAGTGAATACGGCAAACGAAGCTGCACAGCTTAATGAAGACGTAGTCGCAACATACCACAATCTTGCGAATTCGGTTACTACGACCAAAAGCGGCAAACGCACCAGCAAGAAAAAATGGTTTGACCAAAGCTGCAAACATGCTAAAAGGGAAGCCAACAGAGCTGACAGAAATGCCAACAGTAACCCACACAGCAACTTCCTTCGTGACCAGCACTTTCTCAGAAAAAAGGAGTACCGAAAAATCAAGAGGACGAAAAAGGGGAAATTTCTGTACGAGATGAACCAGAAGATAAACGAATGTGGTGAGGTTAACTGGGCAGCGCTCAAACGGCTATCTGATCAGTACAAAGATGAGGAACCCTTCGACATCTACGATCTTCTCCTCTTTCACAAATTCTTCAATGATCTCTACAATCGAAAGTGTGGCGTGAACAATCACTCCAAGGATGATGGCACTTCTACTCCTACGTCCAACGATTCGCAGCCTATCAAGGAATTGGTCAATGAACTGAATCGCGACTTTACCCTACAGGAAATCAAAGATGCGACTAAAAAACTCCAAAACAATAAGAGTGTGTCCGATGACCTGATATCCAACGAGATGTTGAAAAACTCCAATGAGACACTTCAACTCGTCGTTGTGAAACTCTTTAATGCCTGCCTCCAGCATGGAACTTACCCCTGGAACAACTCGATCACAACTCCCCTCCATAAAAAGGGTGACCGGCAAAACCCTGATAACTATCGGGCTATTACTATTGGGAGCTGTCTCGGCAAACTCTTCTCGAACCTTCTCCTTAAACGGCTGATCGAATTTAGAGAAACAGCCTGTCCGGACCGACCGTATCAACTTGGATTCAGGAGGGGAGCCCAATGTAACGACCACTTACTCACCTTGAATACCATTATTGAGAAATACACCAAGAAAGAGAAGAAGCGACTTTTCGCCTGCTTTGTCGACTACCGCAAGGCTTTCGATAGCGTATGCAGGGAAGCACTCCTGTTCAAGCTGGGAAATATGGGCATAACAGGCAAATTCTTCGATTGCATCAGCCACATGTACAAGAACTCTTCAACCCGAGTCAAGCTGATTCAAAAGCTATCCGCAGCCATTGACGTCACCATCGGCACAGAACAAGGACACCCAATGTCTCCCGAGCTCTTCAAACTCTATATCCACGAGCTCTCGATCAGACTTGAACAAATCGAGGAATTGGATGTACCTTTATTAAACGGTGTAAAAGTAAGTCACCTCCTATGGGCAGATGACCTGGTACTCTTAGCGCTGGATGCGGGCAGCTTACAGAAACTGCTCAATTGCTTGCATGACTATGCTGAAAAGTGGGAGCTGTCTGTGAATATCAACAAAACCAGCGTGATGGTCTTTAACACAAGCTCACGAATACTGAAATGTGCTTACGGCTTCAAACTAGGCAACTTGGACATCGCACCCGTCAGAAAATACTGCTATCTAGGAATCCAATTCTCCCTGAACGGTTCCTTCAAGCAGCAATCGATGAACTTAGGAAGAAAGCTCTTCGCTCATTCTTCTCTCTGAGACGAACTATTGACACGAGAGCCCTTACCACTAGCACGATGCTAAAACTCATTGATAGCTTAGTCAAGCCAGTGGCCACATATGGATGCCCTATTTGGCTGCCATCAACCAACATCGTGAAAGCCATCCTCTCAAAAAATCAAGAAGCGAGTCTTCCCAAAGCAGCAGCAAAAGATGCTCTTGAAACTACTCACTTGAAAATTCTTAAATGGATATTGGGTGTCCACAAAAAGGCAAATAACAACTTCTGCTACGGAGATACAGGTAGAACCCCCTGGACAGTAACCGTCCTCCCTCAATGTATTGCCTACTTCTGTAGAGCATCACAAGCGGTAGTAGGTAACGTGAACACCCTCTTGCACCATACATTTCAGGAACAGAAACAACTGAACCTTACCTGGTATGATGCATGGTCTACTATCATCAAGACGAGCACTGTCGCTAAGCCACACCTACCCCACACCCTTGCGGCTCGTGAACACATACACGAAACATTTGTCAACCACTGGAAGAAGGATCTTCACAACCAGCCTAAAATGTCATTCTACACTGCGGTCAAAGCTGAGTTTGGTGAAGAACTGTACTTACAGCTCCCATGCAGGGTCAAAAGAGCTAACATTGCAAAACTTCGATCTAGCAGTCACGATCTGAGGATTGAGAAAGGTCGCTACACTGGAGATCGCTACAACACAGCACTGAAAACATGTCGCTTTTGCTGCTCCTCAGACACCGACGTCATGCGGTTCTTCGAAGAACTACCATTCTTTGAAAAACCTATCCTTGAAACCGAGGACCACGTTATAAATGAATGCCCCAGCTACAACTCCCTCCGGTCCAACCTCTCAGACAACCTTAAAAGCCTCATAATGCTCAAAGAATATGGGGCCATCATGAACTCATTCCATGCTACTGAATTTGGAAAGTACCTCACAGAATCCTTTCACCTTCGACATCCTCCTGAAAAGAAGTCCTAGTTATCACCTCCTATGAAGTCCTAGTAATCACCACCTAACAGACTCTTCAAACCTTCGAAATCCTATGATTAAGCCCTAATCCTCGCTTCACGTCCCCTACTCATCTCCTTCATCGTCCCATCAACTTATGTAGTATTTGAGTTTAACATATCTCCTTGAACTTGCTTTTATGCACACATCCAGAATTTCTATTAGCATTTAAATTATTATATTTGATTTTATTTCCACTTCGTGATATTGTAACGCGGTTAAATTTTAAGATTTTATTTTCATACTTTTATTAGGCTTTTGTTTTATATATGAACTTATTTATGAATTGATGTATAGCCAAAACGAGTCCGTTAGTGTTCTCCTTGGTAATTTCAAGTTTAATTCCAGTTTAATTCCAGTTTAATATTCACCTGGCATCTCCATCGAAAAGTTTATCAAGACCTTCCACTACGGTGGGCCCAGCTGTTACTCCATCGTTTTCAAAAACCGGTGATTCTGTTGGGAAAATTAAGATTGAAAGTGAAATTGAATTGATCATACAAATCTTAAAAGTTTAAATTAAGCTCCTTTTTTAAACCTTTTTCTGGTTATAAATCAGAATAGTTACCTACATTATTAAAGGATGAGTATTGAATTGCTGTTATCTTAGTTTTGCTAAAGTTTGTGTACAATTTAACATTTTGTTTGACTGAATATTTTTTGTTCGACTGTTACAAACTTGATTGAAGTCTATTTAAAACTGTAACCTGCATCGGCATGAGAAACAGGCGCAGTTTTAGAAGCTACACCATCCATGCTGTCTAATGCTGTATTTTGAAAATTGTAGATGAACGTAGAGCGATAAGCATCTGGGTCCATCCACCCGTTTGTTATCTGTTCAACATTGAAGGAAGTTCCAGCGTTGAACACGCTGTAGGAAGTTGAAATTAATCAACTTAATACGTGAATTTACAAATACCTATCAAACGAGGGAAAAAAATAATGTTCACAAAACTATAAAAGAAACCTAGTTTATTTAAATTATGCAGATTAAAGCATTATATAAGCAACCATATGATATGCAAATTATATTGATGTACTCACTACAGTGCTCCGATTTGTCCTGTAAAGCTTGTGCAAACTTTTGTTTTATGTGTACCAAAGTCAAGATTTGCCGCTGACCATGTAAGTTTTGCACCTGTGTGAAATTGGATGTGTTCACTTACATAAATACACTAGTGGTCTACTGCCCAGAACTATCATGTTTTACCCTTCACTTGGCTCCCAGAACAAGACGAATATCGTGTTTTTGATCATTTTCTTTCAACCATAATTATGAAAGTTCTGTACTTACATGTATGCACCAATGTGTTGCCAGAAAGGATGTAAACCGTTTTTATAACATCAGCTGCATAAGTAAACGTGAAAGACAGAACAAACTGGCCCCCAGCTGTTGCAACCCTGGAAATACATAAATAAAATGAGCCAAGAGTTTAAATCGTGCGTAATAATAATGCGTACAAAATAACATTTGGAAACAGAATAGGAGAATATTTATTTATATAATTATATTATTATTATTTATATATAACAGTGTGAATATTTTAAATAAACTTACGCATCTGTAAGAGTCACTTCACATTTATTAGTATCCTTCCCAGTTGCTTTGACGGTTTTTCCATCTTTGCTTATCTATAAAAAAGAAAATCAGGCCGAGGTTATCAAAATAATTGTTGTTTACTGATCAATGACCATTGCTTAATTAGAATAAATGTTAAAATAATACTAACCCCGATTACTAGTGCATCCGTATTGTATGACCAAATCGTTTCAATGTCGTCTCCGCCTAGAGAAAGACAAGATTTCAAGTTGGGATTCTCTTTAAAGATTTTCTTTAAACCGTCCTTTATGGATATTTCCGACTTTAAGATTGTTTGCTTCACTGTAAATGTTTCAATTATTCTGAAGCCCTATGGATATATACAGGTTGGGCCAAAAGTCAGTACCCATACGTTGGCCTTTAAAGCTCAGTCACTGAGTCCCCAATTGAAATAATTCTTTCTGTTATGATTTAGTACCACCACTGGTGCGAGGAATTTGTCAACTTGAAAAATATTCGTGTTCATTTTTTTCAAATGAAGGTTCATTTTCGCATTTATTTGATAGTTTGGATAGTCAGATCAAGCTAAATTTTATTGAATTGTGTTTGGCTATTCGAATTACGTATGTCCTGAAAAAAGTTGTAGCCTCTCAGATGACCGAGATACGAAGCATAACGAGTTTATTCATTACGTGTGATCAGGTGACTGGCTTACCTAATCACGTGATTAGGTGACCCCGTTAACCACCCAGTTAAACATTATGGGAATTGTTAAGGTTGCCCAATTAAGGTGTACTGTCACGGTGTCCCAATCAATTTTGCTAACGAGGTACACAAAATGCTTGATAATTTTGTTATTCCAAATCCGTTTCACATCATTTTTTCAGATCAGATGCAACATTCAATATTCTATCGTCTCTGAAAAAAGATGTTTTAATATTGCATGAGCGTGGTCAATAATATTCAAAATTTCAAATTTTGGCGACGGAATCCTCGAACAAGTATGTACAGTATGCCATCTGCAAATCAACAACTCTCAAATATAAAACACGGCGGAGGTATAAGACCCAACGTATGGGTACTGACTTTTGGCCCACCCTGTATATATATTCATTATTCATATATATTGAATATTCATATAATATGTATATTCATATAATATATTCATGTATATTTATATATGATTTATATAACATATATAATACAAGCGTGTTTTTTTCTCCTTTCAGAAAAGTGCTCCACTAATGAAAAGGAACTTTCTATAAGCGTGACAAAGTAAACTATATTATCGTCCAACTAAAAGTTTCATGTGGATGTGTGAAAAACAACCTTCTTATTATATATAATAATATATCAACGTGGTCGGTAGTTGACTTTCGCCATTTAGTTTTAAATATTTCGTACTTCAACCAGTTAACTCGTTATTAGAAATTCATAGCAACTGAAAACAAAACTTGCTATTATTCAAATGAGTAAATCACGTTTTCTTTTCAAATTTATATGTCTACCTGCACTTGGTAGTGCTCCTAAAATCTGTAAAATCGATGTTCCAGTAGCATCACTTTTTTTGGTTCCTTCTGCCTGAAATAAAATTATTCAGATAGAAGTTTATATAGGTTAGTTGTAGTGCACGGGATCGGTTGAAAGGCATCGTGATAATTGTCCCGAAGAAGGTTAATACCACTGATCTAATAATAGGGGGATCACTCTTAGATCTACAGCATCTAAACTGTATCAAATCATCATATAATTACAAAGCATGAGTGACGGTTTAGAAGAGGCCCCTTCCAGCCATTGCCACTGCGAATTTAACCTAAAACCTGCCCAGTTAATAGCGAAGACTGCGAAATTACCACTCCTGCCTAGTAATCTAATTTACCCTGTCCAGATCAGCAGTATATTACACTAAATCCGCAGGTTTTCTCTTAATTTTTTATGTCAAAACCTGCCTAATTAACTAGTGATCCTGCATCAACAGCGCAGGTATTTGTTATTTGGCAGGTTTTCTATTAACTTGGCAGGATTTGCTATAAAATTATCAATCCTTTCCGGATGGATTACGGCAGTGATAAAGTTAAATCGGCAGGTTTTCCATTAACTTGGCAGGATTTTTTATAAAATTATCAATCCTTGCCGGATAGATTACGGCAGTGATAAAGTTAAATTGGCAGGTTTTCCATTAACTTTGCAGGATTTGTTATAAAATTATCAATCCATGCCAAATAGATTATAATGCTATAATCTTATTATGGCAGCGTTAAATTTATAAATTGGCAGGTTTCTTTTATCTTTCTTTTAAGTTCTTAAGTTATTTGGAATTTTGCTTATTTGGCACCAAAACTAAAAGTCAATAAAACCGAGTTGATTAGCGCAGTCAAGAAATTGGCCGGAGTTGATAAAAAGCTGACAACGCATGGCACTGAATCTCCAAATGAGAGGTATAGTACGCTATATACTTATATAGTACGGTACCGCAACAATTGACCCCCTCCCCCCCCCCCCCCCCCCCTCCGACAAATGACCCCCTGATGCAATCTACCCCCGACAATTGGCCCCCCATGTAATTACACTGGGGTCAATTCAGGGTTAGGGTCAGGGTTAGGGTCAGGGTTAGGGTCAGGGTTAGGGTCAGGGTTAGGGTCAGGGTTAGGGTCAGGGTTAGGGTCAGGGTTAGACTTAGGGTCAGGGTTAGGGTCAGGGTTAGGGTTAGGGTCAGGGTTAGGGTCAGGGTTAGGGTCTGGGTTAGGGTCAGGGTTAGGGTCAGGGTTAGGGTCAGGGTCAGGGTTAGGGTCAGAGTTAGGGTCAGGGTTAGGGTCAGGGTCAGGGTCAGGGTTAGGGTTAGGGTTAGGGTCAGGGTCAGGGTTAGGGTCAGGGTTAGGGTTACTGGGTCACACGACTCCTGTCAGCGACATCTGTCCGACAGCGACATCTGTCCGACTCAGGGTACCAGAAAAAACGACATTTGTCCGAAATTGTGATCTGATTTCAATACAACACATTTCCAATTAGAGACGTGATCTGAACTGTTAATTTGAATACGTAACATTGCCAATTTGAGATATGATCTGAGCCATAGTGTACTACTAGTTTATTTTCGACCTAGGCAGGCAGGCATGAAGCAACTGCGTTGTGAATGGCGAGCTCGTAGTCCATGAGAATGTATTGTGGTTGGTAGCCCCAAGGCCTCAGAAGCCCAGGTGTCTATCTCCTCGAACATGTTGCGGTAGAGGGTCGTCGATTTTCCAGGAATGAGTCCTTAGAAGAGGGGGAGGTGCCAGCCGTCAGGGAAGAGTCCGTGGACTGTGAAGAGCTGATGGAAGAGATTAGGTGCGGATTTGAAGGTACCGTTGGGCGTTGACTACGCAATGCTCCGCGTCCACCATATGATCTGCGTTCTTAGGAGTCCCCCAAAGGAATGATCGACGAGTCTGTTCGTCCCATCCAGAGTCCCAGAGCATCATTGGACTGTTGTCGGTAGAGAGGATTTAGTTTGCAGGAATGGATAGCGTTTCCAGATCTCTCGGGTCTGTTTGCTGCAGATCTGGGTCTGTTTACTGAAGATTGGTTGCCATTGTGGATTGCGATAACTGATCTCCATACGGCTGCTATCCTATATGTACTCATGTAGGCTGTGTCCTGTGATGTGATCGACAGCTTGTTAGTGTACGGCTAGCACAATCCTGTCCTTAAATAGTCAATCACGTATCGATGGATCAGATCTCAATGAATCAAATCAGCATTCGAACAATGGGAGCAACGTCACGAAATTACCCGTGAGTTTGTGAAATACGAATGTGAACCGAAATTACAATATGATCCGAAATTCGGACAGATGTCGCCAAAAACGACTCCTGTCCGACAGCGAAATCTGACCGAAATCCCCAATTCGGCTGTCGGACAGATGTCGCTGTCGGACAGATGTCGCCCAATCGGGTTACTGTTAGGGTTAGTATAATAAATATATTTGTTTGGTCATATTGTCGGGGGGGGGGGGGGGTCAATTTTCAAGTATTATATCACTTGCACCGTTTAGCTCCACGTGGTTTCTTAAGCTTAAATACTTAACTGTCCTGTCAAAATAAAGTAAATCACTATCACCTCTCATTCTTAATAAGTTAGTAAGCAAGCATCTGATCATTTTAAAACAGTCACCTCCCAATTTAGCAAGTTCTTACATCTATATTACAGTCTACACCCTTCAATAATGAGATAATATGTTTGGCCGGTAGAGGGTCCGCAGTAGTCCCATTACAGCATTACCTCATTACCTTAGCATTGCTGTACAGTGTACAACTACTATAAGAGTATAAGATATACATCCTTCACCAAAACTGGTTTGTCCGCTTTCTATTACTAATTTTCCGCTAAAAGTGCCACATCAGTGATCAATTAATATTGGTAAATAGCAATAATTTGAGTTATAGGTTGACCTCCCACTTAGAGCATATGTGGGAGGTCAACCTATAAATTATAGTACGAGCTATTTCCAATTCGTGAATACGAATTTCGATTAAGGTCCAACTTATTAAGTGTCACTTTAACGTGTGACAAATTTCCGATCAAATATCTCATAATCTGAAAATAACTGCATATTTAGAACTATTATATTAATTGTAATTGAAGATTCTTTCAGAATCACTTCATTCACTAAATCTTACAATGTGAACAATGAACAGGTAGAGGTACTGCAACTGAAAAAGTGCTGTCCTCACTACTTAAGAACATAGCAATCTAATCTAAAAATGGCAACCTAAGAACTGAAGTTAAGCAAACAGTTATTTTCCAATAATCGGTTTTTATACAGGGTGGGCCAAAAGTCAGTGTGCAAACGCTGGGTCTTATACCTCCGCTGAGTTTTATATTTGATAGCTGTTGCTTTGCAGATGGCATACTGTACTTACTGGTTCGAGGATTCCGTCGTCAAAATTTGAAAATTCGAATATTTTAGACCACGCCCATTCAATATTAAAACACCTATATTGTTTTCTCTGAAAATCCTGAACGCCTAATTTTTTCAGAGACGGTAGATTATCAAATGTTGCATATGATCTGAAAAAATGAGGCAAAACGGATTAGAAATGACGAAGTTAACAAGCATTTTGTGTATCTCGTTAACAAATTGACTGGGTGATTATGTGACACCGTGACACGACACCTTAATTGGGCACCCTTAACAATTCCCATAATGTTTAACGGGGTAGTTAACGGGGTCACCTTATCACGTGATTAGGTAAACCAATCACCTGATCACACGTAATGAACAAGCTTGTTATGCTTCATATCTCGGTCATCTGAGAAGCTAGAACTCTCATTCTTTCAGGGCAAACGTAATTCGAATGGCCAAACACAATTCAATAACATTTAGCTTGATCCGATTATCCAAACAATCAAAAAAATGTAAAAATGAACCTCCATTTGAAAAAAATGAACGCGAATATTTTTCGAGTTGACAAATTCCTCGAACCAGTGGTGGTACTAAGTCATACCAGAAGGAAGTATTTCAATTGGGCACTCAGTGACTGAGCTATTAAGGCCAACGTTTGCACACTGACTTTTGGCCCACCCTGTACTTTTATACTCAAACTTATCATAGACCCCGTGTTGGTAACAGTGGATAATATGCAGTGGCGAAACGTACCTAAGAGGCCGCAGCTGCACCCCCCCCCCATCCCCTTCCGCATAGCAGGGGTTGCCGGAGTGTCGGGCGGTCGTTTCGCCACTGACTAGTGACTGCATGTATAAAAGTATAAACTATAGAGCCATGTAGGCATGTAGCATTCTGTACTTCTGTAGCTTTGCACAAACCAAGTCTCAGTCCTACACCCTACCTAGTAATAAGGTTATACGATCATTACAGTATTCCACATTGTACACTCAAATTATCCAAAACCCCTGCCAATATAGGTTTAATCACGCCACAAGTTGATTCAAATTATCTCAACTTACGCAGGATTTGCGTTAAATCTGCAGCATTCGACTTTATATTTAACGGAAAACCTGCCAAAATAGAGCAAACCTGCCGAGAGTAGGTGAAAGGTGAGGCAGGTTTTGTGTTAATTTTGCAGGCTTTTCTATAAATCAACAACTCGATTAAATAATTACGTGAGATAAATCTCTGCACGAATACGATAATTAGGCAGGTGTTCGGTTAATTTTGCAGGAATCATTTTAAGACTTCAAATTGATTATCAGTCTTAATGTAAAACCTGCCTAATTAGGTGGCAGGTGGCAATGGCTGGAAGGGGCCTTAGAAGGTTTGCTACGAAACAATCAGTGTGGGTTTAGGAAGAACAGGTCATCATGAATTGATCAGGTTCCGTATGTGCGCTACTATATACTTACTATATAGGTTAATGAGTTAATATCGCTATCATTTGGAACTATTTAAAAGAATACGATCCCTCAAACTGGCAAGTTTCCATAAACAATATTTTATTATCGGCGCTGATAATCGCTTATTGGGCGCTTTCTCGGCGCCGATAATAAAATATCGTTTATGGAAACCGATAATAAAATATCGTTTATGGAAACTTGCCCTCAAACTTAATTGTTAACTACAAGTACAATAAACAATTACTCCCTCAAAAAAGAATAGTTTTTTTTTCTAACATGCGTTTCGCTGAAGTATTAAAAAACTTACATTAGTCACAGCAAGTTCTGTTTCCTTCTCACAGGTCCCGTATTGGAATTTTTCTGCGGATGACAAATGTTAATGATTTGATTAAAGATTCTTGGTTTATGAAGAATATATAAAGTTATTAATTGTAATGTATTGCACTTTGTAGAAAGGAGTTACAATATTTCATATATGGAGTTTGTGCAAACGAAAACCACTGGCCACCAATGGCTTTTAATAGCAATATTCAGTTAACGCAGAAAAGATAAAAATAATCCATAATGTATGAAATGACACAGCTATACTCACTCGAAGTCATCTTAGGAGCAGAAAATTTGGCTAGATCAGGACTTGGGCTACCGTTGCTAGAAAATTCCCAATTGCCGGTGTAGGAACTTACAACGGAGAGTCTGAAAGTTTTAGTGGTGTGTAAAGAAAGCTCACGCTTAGTGCAAGCTTAACTCATGTGCTCAGTTTGCGTTTTTAACGTTTTTAAAAATTGTCTATTCTTGAAAAATTTAATGTTTAATGGTATAGGTTAATAAACAAAAATTTTAAATAAGTTTTGTTTTAAAACCTGTTTCTAGTCCATTGCGGTAGAGGGTAGTCACTAACTTTCTGAGTTACATTGATTAGTAATAAAACACGCGAATAATAGCAAAAGCTAAATTATAATACATTAATTAATAATAAAACATGCGAATGATAGCAAAAGCGTGAAATATCATTATAGTACGTAGTTAATTTCTTTATGCCATAAATTTACAAAGCTGTCATATTTACTTAAACTCTGAATGAAGAAATAGCTTACCCATATTGCCTCTGTGATTGCTGGTGACATTCTAAACAATGCAACAATTATGATATATTCATAAGTTACAAATCATGTCCAAATCAATCAACTTAACCCAAACCTTGATTCAAATTTACAATTGTACCTATAAATAATAAATAATTATACGGTAATATGAAACTTATTGAAACTTACTGGTATAAATGTCTTATGTATAAGGGTGACTGTCCGGAAGATGATAATGCTGGAGCTGTAGCGGCACTCGAACTCCATTGCCAAACAAAAGATCCCTCTCTGTTGTCGATTGTATCAAAAATTGGCCCTGAAATCATCATTTTTCAGTTACATTTCTTAAATTTGCGATATAAATATTTGACCAAAACCCATAATCATGGGTAGGGTGGACCGCTGCCAGTGTTTTTCTTTTCCAAACAAAAAGAAGTAATTTGAATAACCTCCGCAAATGCAAATTGATACCGAGAATGAAATTGGTCGCTCGCTTTTCCCATATTTTGGGCAAATTTCTTAAAATCCTCCACATAACTATTTTTTATTCCTGTCATCTTTAACATTGAATTAGAATGTTTTGAACTTAAATATACCTGCTGAACTACTTTTGATGAGTCTTAATGCCAGGAAAAGAATAAAGTAAGGTAAATAGTATTGTGAATATAAAAGCGACGGTCATGCTTGCCAGCATTGTGATATAATCTTAAAAAGCCATACTGAAATGATATCTATGAAAAGTAAGTAAAAACATTTGATATCAATATACCCTTTGTAACTGGAATACTCTTTATAACGCCCAACGAAAGACTCTTGGTGAAGTACGGAAATGGTCCCACTGAAGATTTGTATAGTTAGTGAAATCTAGAAACTTTTAAAAAGAGAAAATGTTTGCAGTTGATTGCTGTTATAAACAGATAACCAAGCGTTACATAAACTAACCTTTAAGGATGAGCAATACACTCAATTATCATGATGATTTAGTATCTAATAGCTTAATAGAGTAATAGATATCTTATCAATATCCTAAGCTAATGTTGGCTGGTAAAAGATCGGCGCGGCGCAAAAAAGTAAGGTATTAACCTTACTTTTGTTTACCAAAGTATGGTTAATAGGTTACTTTAAGTAAGGTATTACTATTAACCTTACTTTTTTAACCAAAGTAAGGTTTATAGGTTACTTTTAATAAGGTATTAACCTTACTTAAAGTAACACTGACCTTACTTAAAGTAATGTTTATGTTTATGAGGATAGCTTATCAATATTCTAATGAGCTAATGGTGGCTGGGTTGGTACATACTTTTATCACTTTTTGCGATTCGTTGTGCTCCATACGGTGCATCGTACCCCGAGGAGTTGGCAAATAAATTCCCTCCATAGCTGTTCCAAATTTTACCACTGGGATGGCGATATATTATTCTATTTCATACCTGTCTTTTTCTTAGTATGGACGGAGTAATTTTTAATAGTCAGTAGATATCGTTAAGTCCGATTTTAGAAATTCAAATTGACCGAACTTGAAAAGTAGTCATATCCTGGATAACAAGTTTAAAGTGGAATACTTTAGGGATAAGAATTAAACAGAATTTTAATTGAACTGTGAACGGACAGACTTTGTTTGAACGGACATGAATATGAACGATGAGGCCTCCAGCGTCCACTTGGAATGTCTGTCCAAGTGAAGTCTGATAAGGTAGTCAGTATGTTAGTATGTATTGTGGAACATATTGGAAATTTTCATTTGGTATGATCAAAACTTAATGCTGACAGCATAAAAATAATAATATTACCTTAAGTCCACAGCAAATCGCTTGTCGTGGAATGGATTGTAATAGATTTCCGATGATTCGTAACCAGCTGCAATGGAAATTTAAATTAATAAATTGGTTAAATTCTGAACACTTTTTGTTTCGAAATTTTATAAAATTAACTTTTATCCTAGAGGATAAGAGGATGATTATGATTTAAGTTACAATTTTATCTATTATATTTTCAATTGTTTCCGGGTTTGATTGTTATGCTGATCCGGCTCCCAATCAGAGTTGCTGATCATAAATATGAAACCTTAATAGTAGTACGGCAGACTCACTTCAGACTCACTGCAGACTCACTGCAGACTCACTGCAGACTCACTGCAGACTCACTGCAGACTCACTGCAGACTTACTGCAGACTTACTGCAGACTTAATGCAGACTCACTGCAGACTTACTGCAGACATACAGCAGACTTACTGCAGACTTACTGTAGACTTACTGCAGACTTACTGCAGACTTACTGCAGACTTACTGCAGACTTACTGCAGACTTACTGCAGACTTATTGCAGACTTACTGCAGACTTACTGCAGACTTACTGCAGACTTACTGCAGACTTACTGCAGACATACTGCAGACTTACTGCAGACTTACTGCAGACTTACTGCAGACTCACTGCAGACTTACTGCAGACTTACTGCAGACTTACTGCAGACTTACTGCAGACTTACTGCAGACTTACTGCAGACTTACTGCAGACTTACTGCAGACTTACTGCAGACTCACTGCAGACTTACTGCAGACTTACTGCAGACTTACTGCAGACTTACTGCAGACTTACTGCAGACTTACTGCAGACTCACAGCAGACATTCTGCAGACTTACTGCAGACTTACTGCAGACTTACTGCAGACTTACTGCAAACTCACTGCAGACTTACTGCAGACTTACATTTTACAATGATCCTCTCCAAGTGTAGACTTGTTGATCCTGGGTTGTCCTGAACATATACCTGCAAATTGGAACATTAGGATTAATAGTTCACACCTAACTAAACTAGTACACTTAACTTCAGTTAATAACAGGGTTATAGAACTTGAATATAAATAAATGAAATTGAATCTTTCAGGAGAATCTAAAGTCGTTTATACTATTCCATAAAGTCTGATAGATTTTCCCGTGGAATGTGTTAAATTCTATCAGGGTCCTAAAGTAGGCCACATTTAATGCTTATAACAATTTATAACTAGTATATAGATTTGGGAGTTGATCCGCCTGACTCTACTTCAGATTATATTTCATCGGCTGTGAATTCACCTAATTCTCTATTTGAATTGAAAACGATAATCTGAACCCTACAATGTTTACCTCGTTAAGATCTTGCAAGCGCACCCAAACCCATTCCGAGCGATCTATGGTACAATTTGAGATTCTAGTCAACTGATTACTTGAACTTTGATCAGGTTGACTGCAAGGATATAGAAATTATAACAAATATCACACAAATCAGTTAATTTCTAATTTAGATTTTAGTTGCTACCATAAAGTCATGAGTATCCTCATAATAAAGTAACAACGCTCATAAAAGTACGACTTATGAAAATATAAGATACAAGTTGGAGGGGTTCTGGAAATATATTATTGATACGACATGCTGTTTCAGAAGCTTTCGAATAACATGTGAACGGTGTAGCACATGATACGATAGTAAAAAGGAACTAACGATATGCCCATGAGTTCGAGTTTGCGAAAATGAAACCGCACCATCACCACACACCCAGCCTCGTCGCTACAGGATAGTGTTCCTTTGCATTTCTCAGTCCTTCCAAATGTTATCTAGAAGGGGAAGTGTGTAATGGATCTACTGTTCTGTCACAAAATGCAGGAGATTAAAAACAAAGGTCGTACTGTGATGATTCGAGTAATAAAAAGTTGTTATGTAAATAGTTGTTATGTAAATAGGTGTTATGTAAATAGTTGTTATGTAAATAGTTGTCATGTAAATAGTTGTTATGTAAATAGTTGTTATGTAAATAGTTGTTATATAAATAGTTGTTATGTAAATAGTTGTTATGTAAATAGTTGTTATGTAAATAGTTGTTATGTAAATAGTTTTTATATAGATAGTTGTTATGTAAATAGCTGTTATATAAATAGTTGTTATGTAAATAGTTGTTATGTAAATAGTTGTCATGTAAATAGTTGTTATGTAAATAGTTGTCATGTAAATAGTTGTTATGTAAATAGTTGTTATGTAAATAGTTGTTATGTAAATAGTTTTTATATAGATAGTTGTTATGTAAATAGTTGTTATGTAAATAGTTGTTACATAAATAATTGTTATGTGAATAGTAGTTATGTAGATAGTTGTTATGTAAATAGTTGTTATGTAAATAGTTGTTATGTAAATAGTTGTTATATAAATAGTTGTTATGTAAATAGTTGTTATGTAAATAGTTGTTATGTAAATAGTTGTTATGTAAATAGTTTTTATATTGATAGTTGTTATGTAAATAGTTGTTATGTAAATAGTTGTTATGCAAATAGTTGTTATGTAAATAGTTGTTATGTAAATAGTTGTCATGTAAATAGTTGTTATGTAAATAGTTGTTATGTAAATAGTTGTCATGTAAATAGTTGTTATGTAAATAGTTGTTATGTAAATAGTTGTTATGTAAATAGTTGTTATATAAATAGTTGTTATGTAAATAGTTGTTACATAAATAATTGTTATGTGAATAGTAGTTATGTAGATAGTTGTTATGTAAATAGTTGTTATGTATGTCACATCTGTAATATACTTCATTCCATTCATAATATCAATCAGCTAAAAATCTTACAAGTTTCTATAATTATGATTTAAAAAGTACAACTGACCGATTGTGCTGAAGGTTGTAATTTTATCTTTATTGCTCCTCTCGTCCCAGAGTTACTTACTTGGGTAGAACCTCTTGGACCTAACATAACCTGGAAAGTCGCATATTTTAGCACGTGCAGTATTTTAGTTATAAGCACGACATCCCTGTAACACTAGTGCGACAGTGTGCGACAGTTTCATAGTGCGACAGTGTCATTAATACTTTAATACAGATAAACATCTCCTATGCTTTCACTAATCACTAAAGTTGACCACCAGATTTCAATATTGGTAATTCATTTTTACACAGGAAAGTAAGTTTAGGTTGAAAGAACTGTGGTCCACCTCCTTATTACTCATTGTGATGAACTCTAGAAGGATGGGATGGTAATACTCGGTCTGGCCGTCTGGAAGCCCATAGAATTCCAGTTCAGAAACCGAGTAAGGAGGTGCGGCTACTGATGAGAAGCCTCCTTAAAGTTTATTTGGGGTAGAAACGACATCTGGGTCCCTACCCTCGCACAAGATTATTCTCAATTTTCTTGTTGTGTCCACAACTATACCGTTGATCAGAGTCACATCTGATGACTTCAGTGAAAGGGCTGATGACTTCAGTGAAAGAGCTGGTGACCTAGTGAAAGTGCTGGTGACGATGAGAAAGACCATAAACCAGGGATTCCTTCGGGAGCATGTAAGATTATATCCAAAAAAGATTATATCCAAAGTTTGTTCGCCAATGGGGTGTGTCTGGGTGTCAAAGATCTTCAAGGTGGGTGCTACTTGTGATGAACTCTAGAAGGATGGGATGGTAATACTCGGTCTGGCCGTCTGGAAGCCCATAGAATTCCAGTTCAGAAACCGAGTAAGGAGGTGCGGCTACTGATGAGAAGCCTCCTTAAGTTTATTTGGGGTAGAAACGACATCTGGGTCCCTACCCTCGCACAAGATTATTCTCAATTTTCTTGTTGTGTCCACAACTATATGAGTATATGGATGCACGTTCAGCAAGGGGCCCATATTACTCTATTTAATATTTACCAGTATCCTCAAAATTCAATGAACGTGTCCATTAAGTCATTGGTATCTAAATCTAACACAATTAGTAACACAATTGCTAACACGCACTTTCAGAGCCGCAGTTTGAGCGGTACCGGAACTCTTTCTAATGAAGAGGTAGATCATGTCACCCCAGGTTATCGGTCTCTTCAAAGAGTGAGAGGTGGATTGGGGATCGTATACATCTAGTTTGAAGTCGTAAGGAGCAGGATCGTATATCTTTTTCACTGAGTGGAGAAATAGGTTGGTAGACAAAGCTTGAATCAGCATTGATTTAACTATAATTTGGCGGGAAGCCTTCGTGTATGACTATTGTAAAGTAAAAACGAGTCAAAGTTAAGTTTTAATAGAAATTGTTTTGTTCTTTGGAGGTTGTTAGACATCCAAAATTTAAAATAAACCTTTTTGATTGGTGCAATGACACATTCTGGCGCCTGACTCAATGGTGGTTTTGCAGTCGTACGATGATTTGTGATCAATAATGCCAACACATGCACCATCTGAATATCTGCGGGGAGATATAAAGGTTGTAAAAAGAGAGAGATTTAGGGGAAATAGTTGTAAATATCAACATTTAGACTTTTAGAGAACCTTGAGTAAGATTAAACCTGTAGAAAGGAGCTCCATCCGTTTTTTGAGTGATATTTGCAACAGACTTGCAAGTAAGGCCCTCCTCGTCAAATGCATGGTACAACTCAATACTTGCTAGGATACTTTCCGAGCAGAATGCTCGCTGCTTCTTGCAAGCGTTGATGCAAGTTGCACCGGGGGCGGCAGTTTGGTAGAATGATAACCCGTACTCTGCAATAATAAAAGGTCAGATATATTAAGAATTGTAGGGTTATCTTCAAAACGTTATCGTGATATCCATTTTATTTGCGAGATCTGACATAAGGTCAAAGTATAATGAATAATTAGGGTAATTGGTCAAACTTCACTCAAGGTCGAAATGACTGCCGACTGGTTCAGCGATACCAAACAATTCCAATAATGCCTCACTCACGCGTATTCCTTCCCTTTTTGAAGCCCAAATACCCAAAATCTGCTGTTGAGATAGCTCCTTCTTTTCTATACAGCTGCTCGCTGGAGTGAGGGTAGGTAAGCACTGCTGAGTCAGTATCTGGGGTTTTCAGATATGCCACTCCTCCTGCAAAGTATTGTCATGGTAACTGAGAACTGAGTAATATTAATATCAGCAAGGGACCCATATTACTCTAGCTCTGTTTAACATTTACCAATATCCTCAAAATTCAATGAACGTGTCCATTAAGTCATTGGTATCTAGATCTAACACAATTGGTAACACGCACTTTCAGAGCCAGAGTAAATATTCGGCATAATGCTAACTAACTAATAATAATCATACTAACCAGAGCATTTGTCTTGTTGCCCGTAACAATACTCAACAGCATTTCTTGAGTAATATTCCTCCTTCATAGAGTCGTGATACAATCCATAGGGACTGTATTCGTATGTTAATCTTAACATGTTATCTGAGAATTATAGAGTCATCATGATGGTACAATACAGAGATACAATATTAAACAGTATCTTCACTAACAACACATGTTACTTTTATTCTTTAGAATAGTTTAAAAGAGCGCCCCTATGACAATCGCCCAGCCACCCACTAGAGAAGGATCATCTCCTTTATACCATGGTTACCAGGTTACCAGGTTACCAGGTTGCCAGGTTACCAGGTTACCAGGTTATACTTACTGCAAATAGGGACAGTGCAGAACTCCCAGTTGTTGTCCTGGTAGTTGTCCTGCTCCTTGTAGCACCAGGGTTTACCCCGTCTGTTAGGGTCACGGCAGTAGTTGTGATCCAGCGCTGAGGGGGCATTTGGGGTCACTTTTTGGTAAATCATGTCTTAACTTATATTGGACGTTTTCAATAAGACTTTAATTATTACACAATTAGTCTTTAGTTATTACACTTTTGTGTTTTTCGCCATGAGCAGTCGGGTGTCGAGATGATACTACTATAGTCTGCCAGTTTTACTGCATTGCTTCATGATGACCAGGTTTTTAGTCCCAACTTCAAAATTCAGTATAACTATTACTCTGTGAACCTACATATTCTTATAGTTTTTCCCTTTTCTGATGTGAGTGCTTTTAAAGAATTTTGTTGTAGTTCTGATTAAATCGGGATATTGCTCCTAAAATTTCGAATCTTTTAGCTTTCCAACAATGTGAATTTTTTGGTTAATAAACTTGATTCAAATCATCGTAAATTACAACGCGTAATCATGCAAGACTGCAGGATTGTAGAGGTACTAGATACTTCTATCATCACTTATTTAACCAGTTAACAGCCGAATTCCCACAAATATGCTGTTGTGTTTCAGATATAATGCAAACTATCACAGACAACAACGTAAATCCATACAAATCAAGAGAATTAAAAATGTCTGACATACTTGACAAGTCATCTATACAAATTACAAACAGTAGAATAAATATGGTTGTTAATGTATTCTCCAAGTGTACTTCAGTTTTTTAAGAATATCCTATTAAAACCCCCTGCTATTCTAAACAGCAACCCTAGTGACGTATAATTTGTGATGTGATCCATATTCTAACCCTCCTAACTGCTAACAGCCGGACAACCAAGAACCTGGGTAGGGTTCACAATTCACATGACAGTAAGTAGCAGTAAAATTGACAGATTCTTAGGTGTCCGTCTAAACCCTGTTATTCTAAAGAACAGCCCTAGAAGAATTTACTTTAATTAGGAATCTTGCTCTCACAAAACATTACAACGAAAATTCAAATATTATGACAAACTGAAAGTAAAAAACCTCGAACGTTCGGTTAAATATACAGAAGATAACGATCATTGATCGGAAACATGATAAGATGCTACATTCATTAGTTCTGCCAACCATATTGATCAAGGTTGCTCTCTTTGAGTTTAATACAACGTTCATTACTTGGTTGAACATCCACAAAAGTCTTCATCTCTTCAGAGTCATCAATCACCATCGAGTTGGCTGGAAACTGTTTCCACCCATCATCTACTACTCCATCATCTGCAAAATGTTTTAAAACACCCACTAAGACTTTCCTAAACTTCCACGCTGTGGAGCTTGCCGGGATAGCAACTCCCATACTCTTCCGGACTTTATATCCAAACAAGGCCTCCACCTCCCAGCCGTGGTAAACTTGGAAGTCGGGTGTTAACCCAAATTTAGTGAACATTCTATAGATTTCATGATGGCTACTTTCACTCATACTCTCAGCTATGCTATTCAAAGGACATGTAACCCTCATATCAGATGTTATAGTGTCCCAAAGATGCTGAGGAGAAAGCCCCTTGTAAGTCTGCAACACACCAGATATTTCATCACCTGTCATGTTGAACAGAGTTCCAGACAACCCCCTGATCACATTAGTAACACTGTCCATGTTGGAGTAGATGTTGAAGTTCCAGTTGGAAGGGTATAATACTGCGTCATGTATCGAGTTTCCAATTATAACTTTTATTTTTGAATCGATATCTTTTAGGTAATTAGCAGTGGATAAGTCTTTTGGAGCTTGAGTAACTACGTTAGGATCAACCATTATCAAACCGAGGTACTCAGCGTAATCACCGTACCGTTTAGGGAAGTCAAAATATCCAACCCCCATGTTTTTCGCAAGATCTTTTAACTTTCCTGATGGATTGACATTTTCATTTATGTAAGAAGTAAACCATTTAGCGTCAACTTGTTGCAAGCATTTCTTTTTATCATCAGAATAACGACAACCAGTGACATCGAGTACTTCAGTTGTCTCCTTCTGTAGTATACTCCCTTCAACGTGATCGAACCTAAACTCGGCGGCAGGAGCTAGCACGACTGCCCGATGAAACAAGTTAACAGCTAGTGGTGACGAGGACAGTGCTAATGCTGCTGTAGCTCCCCCACTGTGACCGAGCAATGTTACTCTGGTTGGATCACCTCCAAACGACGCTATATTGTCTTGTATCCATTGCAGTGACGCAACCATGTCTCTGATTCCGTTATTTGCGTAGGTCCCACTTGTGTTGTTCCACAGTTCTTCAATGGAATGAAAGCCTAAGAATCCTAACCTGTAGTTGATATTGACGGTAACTGCATCAAGCGACTCTGTCAACTCTGCATCAAAACTGTACCCAGGTCTGCAACAGTACCCTCCAACCAGACCTCCCCCGTGTAGCCAAACTATAACAGGTTTAGAGGCTCTTATATCCAGACTTCTGATCGTTAAGTAAAGGCAGTCTTCAGTTCCTATACCGTCAGATCCTGGCGTCCATGTCATTTGCACACACTGAATGGTTCTTTCTTTTGAGGCATCCACAACATTCGACCAAGGGTTATTTTTATTGTTAACCAAAGGTGGCTCGAATCTGAGATGCCCGGTCGGTGGTGAAGAGTACGGTACATTGAAAAACTCATAGATATTCGAGCCTGAACTGGTTTTGGAAACATTTCCAGTCACCAATCCACATCCGGTTATTACTTGAATCTCAGGTTTTTGAGGCTCTTTGTCAAGCTTAGATTCTGGATCAGTGTGGTTGGCTCTATCAACTATTGGAGACAGGAGAATGGGAGAAAAACAGGAGAAAACGAGTGATATCAGCAATGCTGTGTTAGTAATCATCCTGCAGAGGAAATTATAAAACAGATTAGGTTATAATTTAGGAATTAAGTTATAACTTTAGAACCATTTTGCTTTTCGCATTAACATAATTAGTGGAAATTTCATAATCGTACTATAACTAATATTATATAACTAATGTTGAAGACGTTCAACATGACTGGAGCTCAAACCACTGTTAGAAATGGAGGTGAGAACTTGAAAAATGTTCAGGAAATGAGTAATTGAAATCAAGGTTTCAATTTGAAGATGCATGAAACTTATCTTAACGTGATTATAACTTTGCAATTTGATATAGACTTGGAGAACATCCGGACTCCATATCTAGTCCGTTTCTTATCCTTTTTTATTTTTTAAACAGCCTAGGTCCATCCGTACCAGGAAAATTGAATTAATCAATTTGGAATCAACTAGACAATTATTTTCATTACGATCAGAAGCACGAGTTCCGCATCCCCTTTCACACAGTTAGATTAATATTTATCGTCACACAAGGACAACATATGTCCTTTAGTAGCATCATCATCGGCATAAATGTCTTACCTGAGACTTATGCTAAATCTTTCTTTTTCCGTTATTTCATATACAGTTTCATATTCAGTTGATTAGGCGTTCAATTATAATAATTGGTCCTATATAATAAAATAGAGTAAAATTCCGTATTATATCATTATATTATAATAATAACACGGAATTTTACTGAATAATCAATTACGTTTTTTGCGTCACCTTAATCCAAGTTAAAATATTTAGATCTGGCAATGTCGTAATGAGCATGACATAATTCTAGGTCTAAGTAATATCTGACCAAATAAAGTCCGATAAGATATGTGAAAAAAACACAAACCTTCATAAACTTCAATCTCACAAATGATGAGCTGACCAACTGTATCGGAAGTTGTGAGGTAGACCATAACATGTGATCCCCACAAAGATTTAGTGCACTTCACGTCGTAGTAATTAGCTGTACCAAACTTTCCCACCGTACCACAGTTCTCACCGTCCACCAGAACTACTGCATCTGCGGGAGGAGGTTTAGCGAGGTTAAGTGAGGTTTAGTGAGGTTTAGTGAGGTTTAGTGAGGTTTAGTAAGGTTTAGTGAGGTTTAGTGAGGTTTAGTGAGGTTTAGTGAGGTTTAGTGAGAATTAGTGAGGTTTAGTGAGGTTTAGTGAGGTTAAGTGAGGTTTAGTGAGGTTTAGTGAGGTTTAGTGAGGTTTAGTGAGGTTTAGTGAGGTTTAGTGAGGTTTAGTGAGGTTTAGTGAGGTTTAGTGAGGTTTAGTGAGGTTTAGTGAGGTTAAGTGAGGTTTAGTGAGGTTTGGTGAGGTTTAGTGAGGTTTAGTGAGGTTTAGTGAGGTTTAGTGAGGTTTAGTAAGGTTTAGTGAGGTTTAGTGAGGTTTAGTGAGGTTTAGCGAGGTTAAGTGAGGTTAAGTGAGGTTTAGTGAGGTTTAGTGAGGTTTAGTGAGGTTTAGTGAGGTTTAGTGAGGTTTAGTGAGGTTTAGTGAGGTTTAGTGAGGTTTAGTGAGGTTTAGTGAGGTTTAGTGAGGTTTAGTGAGGTTTAGTGAGGTTTAGTGAGATTAGAGAGGTTTGGTGAGGTTTAGCGAGGTTTGGTGAGTTTTAGTGAGGTTAGAGAGGTTTGGTGAGGTTTAGTGAGGTTAAGTGAGATTTAATGGGGTTTAGTGAGGTTTAGTGAGCATTAGTGAGCACTGCATGTTCTAGATTCGCGGAAGCACAAAGATCGAAACTAAAAATATTGACTGAAGGAAGTTAAATTCGTGTCATACTTTCAAGGGCGTCATCTCTCTTCTTGTAGAGTCGAACCATTCCGATATAAAAACTCTTATACAGATCCACACCAAAATATTCTTTTTCAAGCTTGTTAGCAGCTTTAGAAGCCGCACATTTTGTCCTGAATAGAAAGCATTATAAGCGTAATAATAAGTTGACTTTTAATTGTAACTTTTTGTTTTCTGTCCAAATTATTTGGCAAAAGTCCGTAGAAACTTCGCAGATTTGTTAAAACACAGTTTCCCGAAAACGACAATAGTGCAGTTGTCAATTGCTTGATTTGAACTACACTTAATCAGATATAGTTCTTTCATTCAAATTTCTGATTGTTTCTGAATAGACTCAGTGAAGACAGATTCTAATGGAAATAAATAAAATTAGAAACTGTCTTCACTGAGTCACTAGTAGTGTATAAACTATGGTAACTAGTAGTGTAACAGAAACAATAAGAAAACTAACAGATCTGTGTGTCGGTCACCATCTGTTCCATACTCAGGGTTAGCCATGTTTCCAGCAGTAGCTGTCTTGTGCAGCGCCAGGTTGGAGCGACCTGATCGGGTTGTTATGGTGTTATGGTTGTTATGGTTGTTATGGTGTTATGGTTGTTATGGTTACACTTTTATAAATCAAATGAAAGATTCCAGCGCCAGGTTGGTGCGACCTGACCGGGTTGTTATGGTTGTTATGGTGTTATGGTTGTGTATAATATGCTATATGATATTATATTGTTATGGTTGAGTGGATTTAACTTTTCTAAATAAAATGAAACATTTCGAAGGTAAGGAATATGCTGTTGAAGGTTAGTATTAAAGACTTTATTAGTCTACCTTGGTACAATAAACATTCCTTGTAGAAACCAAAGCATCCAATGTAAGCAGTGGCACAACCGGTTTTCTTTAAATTTCTTGCAAGCCCAGCATCCTTTTTAGGAATGCACGTATCAAATGCTGAAACAGTTTTTTTTCAAAAACACAGGAGGAGATGATAGTTTAAGTTTTTGTGCTCCAAAATCATCAATTTCAAACCTCCACTTTGTTTATAGATGGTAATATAGTGATATGCTCTGATAAGGCTGCATGGCAGATAATAAAACCAAGAGGTTGCTAGCCATAATGTTTATTAAGTTTCTAATATTTTCTTGAAAACTGTCACTAATCCTTATGATAAGATAATAACTCCATCAATTACACCTGCAATATTAAGGGATCACATACCCACAGAGACACTCTCACACCCCTCTATCTTATCACACTCCTCCGCGCAGTACCCCATCCACTTGTGCTCGAAGAAGATGGCCTTGTTGGGTATGTCGTTATCAGCGCCGGGGAAGTCTGTGTCGTACCATATACACTGATCGTACTCCTCTGTTGAATGGGCGTGAGGTTTAGTGAGGTTTAGTGAAGTTTAGTGAGGTTTAAAGAGGTTTGGTTAGGTTTGGTGAGGTTAAGTGAGTTCCTTGTTGGGTATGTCGTTATCAGCGCCGGGGAAGTCTGTGTCGTACCATATACACTGGTCGTACTCCTCTGTTGAATGGGCGTGAGGTTTAGTGAGGTTTAGTGAAGTTTAGTGAGGTTTAAAGAGGTTTGGTTAGGTTTGGTGAGGTTAAGTGAGTTCCTTGTTGGGTATGTCGTTATCAGCGCCGGGGAAGTCTGTGTCGTACCATATACACTGGTCGTACTCCTCTGTTGAATGGGCGTGAGGTTTAGTGAGGTTTAGTGAAGTTTAGTGAGGTTTAAAGAGGTTTGGTTAGGTTTGGTGAGGTTAAGTGAGTTCCTTGTTGGGTATGTCGTTATCAGCGCCGGGGAAGTCTGTGTCGTACCATATACACTGGTCGTACTCCTCTGTTGAATGGGCGTGAGGTTTAGTGAGGTTTAGTGAAGTTTAGTGAGGTTTAAAGAGGTTTGGTTAGGTTTGGTGAGGTTAAGTGAGTTCCTTGTTGGGTATGTCGTTATCAGCGCCGGGGAAGTCTGTGTCGTACCATATACACTGGTCGTACTCCTCTGTTGAATGGGCGTGAGGTTTAGTGAGGTTTAGTGAAGTTTAGTGAGGTTTAAAGAGGTTTGGTTAGGTTTGGTGAGGTTAAGTGAGTTCCTTGTTGGGTATGTCGTTATCAGCGCCGGGGAAGTCTGTGTCGTATTCCTCTGTTGAATGGGCGGTTTAATGTCACTGTATTGTCACTGTAATTTCACTGTAATGTCACTGTAATTTCACTGTAATGTCACTGTAATGTCACTGTAATTTCACTGTAATTTCACTGTAATGTCACTGGGGAAGTCTGTGTCGTACCATATACACTGGTCGTATTCTTCTGTTGAATGCAGGCGGTTTAGAAAGGAGAGGGAATGCTATTGTGTGATAATCAGACAGAATGTTCCTAGCTCCGATGTTCATAAACTCTTGTATCCAACTTATACTGATAATGATCAATGATATGTGGAATAAATAATCAATAATCCTGGAAAATGTAAATCGGATATTACAAAAAGTATTAGTGCGTGTAATGGTAATGTAATGTTAGGTCAGTATTGTGAGATGAACTCAAGATACGCGCATGCCAGCACTTAGTGTCACTGTAATGTCACTGTAATGTCACTGTAATGTCACTGTAATGTCACTGTAATGTCACTGTAATGTCACTGTAATGTCACTGTAATTTCACTGTAATGCCACTGTAATGTCACTGTAATGTCACTGTAATGTCACTGTAATGTCACTGTAATGTCACTGTTACTAACCGACAGGAGAGCCGCGAGCCCACACCTCAGCCAGGTAAATATATAATGTCACTGTAATGTCACTGTTACTAACCGACAGGAGAGCCGCGAGCCCACACCTCAGCCAGGTGAATATATAATGTCACTGTAATGTCACTGTTACTAACCGACAGGAGAGCCGCGAGCCCACACCTCAGCCAGGTGAATATATAATGTCACTGTAATGTCGCTATTACTAACCGACAGGAGTGCCGCGAGCCCACACTTCAGCCAGGTGAATATATAATGTCACTGTAATGTCACTGTTACTAACCGACAGGAGTGCCGCGAGCCCACACCTCAGCCAGGTGAATATATAATGTCACTGTAATGTCGCTATTACTAACCGACAGGAGTGCCGCGAGCCCACACCTCAGCCAGGTGAATATATAATGTCACTGTAATGTCACTGTTACTAACCGACAGGAGTGCCGCGAGCCCACACCTCAGCCAGGTGAATATATA